TTATGCATATGCCCTCTCTTCTTATCAGCTGGACGCTTCACTCTCCACTCTAGTCCTCTGTGGCTATGTCACTGACTCTGGGCCCAAGAGTCTCTAGGTCTTGCCACACTGCTGGCCAGACAGGTCTCCACCTGGGTTCACAGGAGTCTATTGAACGTTGTAGGGCTTAGCTCGCAGCTGAGGCTGTAAATCTTTATGGGAGCAGTACGCCTCATCTTTCTCCCATGGAACCGCTGGTAGTTTCGAACTGCTGACCTTGAGGTTGGCAGCCCGGCTCATAACCACTATGCTACCAAAGGCACTTAATAATAACATAATTGTATACATACATGCATATGCTGTTGTTATTAAGTGTTGTCCAGTCGGTTCTGACCCATAGAAACCCTGTATAGGGTTTCCAAGGTGAAGCTGGTGAATTTGAACCACTGACCTTGCAGCTCAAACCAACTTTGCAGTCCAGCACATTAACCCACACTCACACCAGTCCAGCACATTAACCCTCACTCATACCAGGACTCCTCATATATACATATAAACATGCAAATATTACTTATTCATGATTTCTGCTGTTGTTTCAAAATTATATGTGCCACAGTACTTACCAACAGTTCCCTTTTTTTCTTGTGTGCATTTAATAACAGTGTTTACCTTCGTCAAGAAGCTGTGTACAGCAGAGATTCGGGGCCAGGTGGCAGAGTAGGCAGATGCACTGAGAGAACCTTCTGCAACAAAGATGGTGATCCTGGAATCCTGAGCATCAGAGGATACTATGGAAGGTGGATTGAGGGCTTCCTGGAAGAGGAGCAGTGAACAAGAAGAAAACCAGGCCGGCTGTCAGCTGATCTGGAGCAGTAGGCCATCTGGATCTTTTGCAAGCAGCTGCAGATTCAGCAGCCTGCAGACAGAGGGCAGAGTTGCAAGTAGAAGACTGGGAAGGTGCAGTCCTCCTTTGTTCCTGTACCCACCTGGTAACCAGAGGTGTGGCCAACCCTGCCATCACCAATACAGTGCTCAGTGTACTGCCCAGTCTCTACCTGGGATCTGGGGCCAAGGCACACCACCCCTTGTTCTAGAGTTGTGTGAACCCACCCTAAATGATGCTACTCAAATAGCAAACAGAATTGTGTTCAGACTTCCAGTCTCTATCACATCCACCAGGAAACAGATGGTGAGTGCCTGAGAGCACACCAGCATATAATTATCAATTAAATATAAATATGATGACACAGTGTCTCAGAGAAAACAATTTCAACTTCTGTGAAGAAACAATATAGAGTGCCTCAAACAAGCAACCAAAATGCCATCAGAACATAAAATACCAGAAGTGGTATCAGAACTACAAGGGTGAATCAAAAATTATCCGCATTCTGGTTATATTAAAACAGCTGTCCACATCCACGGCTGATGACAACATTGAGCATGCACGTGAAATGATTCTATCGAATAGACGAGTGACAGTGGATTATGTAACAAATCATTTGCAAATCAGCTATGGCTCTGCCTATGTCTTAATCTATGACAGACTTAGGTTTTGAAAAGTTTGTGCGAGATAGGCATCAAAACAACTCACGGAAGAGCATAAACAGAAGTGTTTGGACACCTGCAGACAAAATTTGGACTGATACTCGAAGGAGGATAAAAGTTTCTTTTTTAAAAAAACAAAACTGTTACTGGTGACAAGACATGGAGTCATCACTACGAGCCTGAGAGTAAATGACGGAGTATGGAATGAAAGCATCCTCAATTGCCAACCAAGAAAAAGTTCAAAAGTCAATCATCAGCTGGAAAATTGATGCTTACAGTTTTCTGGGATTCTCAAGAGCCAGTATTGGAACACTATCAGGAAACGGTTCAACAATCAACAATGCTCTTACAGTGAGATGCTCATTGAAGAGCTAACGCCTAAACTTCAGATTAAAAGCAGAGGACCATTATCCAATGGTGTTGTCATCTTGCATGACAATGTACAACCACACACCTCTGCCCACACTGTTGACACTCTGCACAAAACTTTTGAGGTATTAAAGCATCCTCCCTGTAATCCTGATCTAGCTCCATCAGATTCTCACCTATTTGGTCCCCTGAAAGCAGCCCTTCACGGATGAAGATTCATCTTTGATGAAGAAGTGAAGACAAGTGTATTCATGGCTCACAGATCAGCCTAAAACATTTTAAAATAAGGGAATACAAAAGCTCGTTGACAGATGGACACAGTGTATTGAAAAGCAAGGAGATTATGTTGAAAATTGATATTTGTCTTTTCTAAAAGTTGATTAAAATAAATTCTACAATTAGAGTTCTTGTCTCATTCTTGTGTGTGTGTGTGTGTATGGGTGTGTGTGTATTTCCAACAAACTAGACCAGTGAGGATGCCCTGCTGCTAATGCTAAGCCAGGATACCACAGCTTGCCCAGCTGCTAGTTGCTGGCACTGGACACTAGACAATGGTAGCAGTTGTGGCTACCCCACTAGTCCTGCTCCACTATTCTGTTTCTTTACCTTATCCTGAGTCAAGCAAATGCATGTGATTTGGCCTGTGTCATATTTTAGAGGAAAGGTGAAACAAGAGGCAAGCTTTTTTAGGAGGCAACTTCTGACTCATGGCAAGACTCAGTGAGAAGTTCCTAAGACAAAACAAGAGAAATTCACATGCTGGGCAGCCAAAAGAGATGCTGCTACCAGGTGACATGTGTCAAGTTAGCACAGAGGAGACTGAAGTCTAGGTGAGAAATCTTGGTGCCAAAAGAGAGTCCTTCCTCACTCAGAGAGACAAGGACCATGGCAGGACCCTCAGAGACTTGCAGAATAGCCCTGGATGGCATGGTGTTGGTGGGAGAACTCAGGAACACTAGTCAGATGGAGACTTCCAGAGATCCCAGAGGCAGCAATCAACTAGATGGTCCTCAGGTGAGATCTAAGAGCGTCTCCGGAGTTTCCAGGCCCATTCAGACACCTGCTCTTGCTCTTCTCCATTTCTTTTTAGTGCTTTATTGCTCTGTTTGGCCCCTTCCAAAGCCAAACAATAAACCTCCAAGTGCCTGATGGGTTTATCAAGCTGTTCCACAGGTAAGATTTTGCCCTTTTAGTGGAATCCTGGTGTGACGCTGTAAGATAAACATTGGACTACAAGGTCTGTAAGGTCAGTGGTTCAAAGTCTCCATATGCTCTTTGGAAACTCTATAAAGGTTCGCTATGAGTTGGAGCCAATTCAAACAACACTAAACAACATGTATGGAGTGGGCATCAACAACACTACTGACCTGGATGTTTGGGATTGAGAACAGCTGGGGCTGGGGATCCCAGCCTCGTGTTATGGGCATATGACTGGGAGCTTCAGGGAGGGTTCCTAGAACAAGGAAGTAAAGGAGGGAGGAAATCACATTGATTTCACATTTATTGAATTCACATTTATTGCCCTATGAACATGTAAACCAGTTTGGGCACATTTAGTGTGTGTCTGACATTGTACTAAGTGCTTAACATGTATTGTTGCATCAAACCTTCACAACTCATGAGCATTGCTATTATTCTTATTTTCCAAAGGAAGTATCTGTACAGCTTACCTGATAGTCCATGCAAACCAGAACTTAAATCCAGCTGTACCTGATTCCTACGTGTCCTTCCCAACAGGCAGGGCACACAGACTGGCCTGGTCAGAATGTGTCAGTGAGCTACTGTGTATTGGGCTGGAGTGGGGAGAAAAATCCCAGAATACTCTCCAGGGGCCTCTTCTAGGAAATCTTTGAAGGCCAGCTACCCATCATGAGAGGGAGGGCTACCCATCAGACTTGAAGACTTGGGGTAATAGGCTGTTCAGTCATCTGAGACCTAGGTTTGAACTAGTTCTCTGTGGCTCCATCCTTGGGGGAGTCCCTGAGTCTTTGAGGCTGCAGCTGTGTGCAGCAGGCTGTCCTGATAAGACCACGTCAGGGTCTCCTGGCTTACCTCTTTCCCTGAACTTTTCCCTGCTGACTGGCATTCTCATCCTCAGAGGAGGAAGGACATTTAGCAAGAGGCTCTTGGGTAGGCCATACAGAGGTGAACAAGCTCCAGGCACTGTTCCCAGCCCAACCCCCAGACCCATCCAGGACTCAGGGCTTCACTCCTCAATTCTGGAGACCTTGCATGGGTTTAACAGTGAAGAAATTTCAGAAATAAGCATGAGTCCAAACATGTCTCTGAATGTGGTAGAGCATACAGGTGACAAAATGATGACATTACCAAACATCTTAAGAAAATGAGTTGCTGAGTCTGGGGACTTGTGACTACACTCTTGGGGGACACTATGGTCAATTGGCATAACATAGTCTACTAAGACAATGTTCTATATCCTACCTTGGTGACTAGCTCATGAGCTGCCATCTAAGGTGCAACTATCGGTCTCTCCCTTCCCAGAGAAAACAAGAGTGATGAAAATTGAAGATGCTTGGAAACAATTCATCCAATGGCCTCACAGACCATGTGAACATCAGTCTCTACAACTCTGAGACCAGAAGAATTAGATGGTGTCTGGCAACTATACCAACTGCTCTGAAAGGGATCACATTAGAAGGTCCTTGATACAGTGGAAGAAAATGTGAAACAAAACTCAAATCACACAAAAAAAGACCAAGGCAAGCATATAGGGAGGACAGCAACACAAGTGTGGTACACACAACATAGAATGGTCAACCATTTGAGATCTCAAAGGCAGCATTTACCTAAGGACAAGATTCAGAAGCGTTGGGGAAACAGGACTAATGGAAGTGAGAAACACAGAGAGGAGGTAGGAAAAGCAATGTTTCATTGAGGGGTGTTAACAATTATTGAGATAAAATGAAGAGTATGATTTGTTAAAAGTAACACTGATGATATGCTCTGTAAACCTTCACTCACTTCACAATAAAAAGTTTTTAAAAAGGGAGAGAGAAAAGAAAGAAACACGAATTGCTTTTAGAATGAGGGCAGGGGTGAACCAAACTTTACATAAATAAGTCAGGGAAAGGTACAGAAGATCAGGTGCAGGAAGGGACCTCTCTCCCACTGTGCAGTAAATTCTCCAAGCCCAAGGATTATGTCCTGCTTACCTAATGTCTCCTTCACCTGAAGCACAGTGGCAGGCACACAAAAGCTGCTTTGCTCATTGCCTGGTGCCGGGAACAATGACTAGCACATTATGGCCACTCACAAAAAAAACGTGTTGGTTACATGGCTATAACAAATCCTGATATGGTGCTATAGGATCAGCACTTGGCTGTGAACCATAAGGTCGGCAGTTCAAACCCACCAGCTGCTCCTTTGAAACCCTATACAGGGTCGCTATGAGTCGAAACCGACTCAATGGCATTTACCAACAATAAGAATCTAAGTGGGTTGCCTATTTTAAGAAAAGCAGTTGTCTTCCAGTCATTCAACTCATAGCAACCCTATGGGTGTCAGAATAGAGCTATTCTCCAGAGGGTTTTCACTGTTACAATTTTTGGATAGAGACCACCAAGCCTTCCTTCTGAGGCAGCTCTGGGGGACTCAAATTGGCAGTTTTCTGATTAGCACATTAACCTTTTTCATCGCACAGCAACTCTATGTTTCATATTTTGTCTTTGGATGTCTTTTCCCACTTTCGCCTTGGAGTATTCACCCTTCACACACCCCTACTCTCACCCTCCTACGATTTCACTTCCCAGGCCCTTCTTGGTCCCCTAAGTACCTCTGCCAGGCCCTGCTAAGCTTTGCCAAGGAGGGTTTTTTGTTTGTTTGTTTGTTTCTCCCTACTCCACCCCTGGAGTCCTGGTGTGGTGCTGTGAGTTAATGTGCTGGGCTGCAATGTCGGTTTGAACCACAAGGTCAGCAGTTCAAGCTAACCAGCTGCTGCTCCTTGAAAACCCTATACAGGGTAGCTGTGGTTCAGAACCGACTCGACGGTACTTAACAACAACAATAACCTATCCCCAGCAACAAGGAGTCACATTGCAACCAGATTGGGTTAGTTTCTCAGTAGCTTTATTGAGTAGTGAGAAGTATCGTGATTTCCCACTGGACATGTGTCCTCAAGCTCATACCAAGTCTGCTTTGGGACAGACAGACAGACAGGTGGCAGGGCAGGACAGGTGGGCGCGGCCGTGGGGAAGTTCCAGGAATAGCTCAGCTCTCCAGCGTTGCTGGCGCCTGTTCCACCTCCTGGAGCGGCAGGACAACTGGCTGCTCCTGGTTCTCTTTGTCCTTGAGGGTGCTGAAGAAGGAGTTGACCTTGTCCCTCAGGTCCTTTTCCAGGAAGCTCAAGTGGTCTTCCAAGTCCCCCGAGTAAGGGCCCAACTTCTGCCTGAGCTCCTCCATCTGTTGCACCAAAGCTTTGTTGAAGGTCTCGCCGTAGGGTCCCACGTTGCGGCGGAACTCCTCCACCTGGCGGTCCAGTTGACTGCTCAGCTGGGCCAGCGATTTCTGCAGCTCCTCGGTGTTGCCGCGTAGCTTGCCACGCACGTCCTCGGCCATAGGCACCAGCGTCTGCCGCAGCTCCTCGGCTCGGGCTTCGAACTTGGTCTTCAGCTCCTCGGCGTTCTTCTTCATCTGGAAAGCGAGGCCCTCGAGTTGGTGGTTGAGCTTCTCCTGGACGTCCTGGGCGTAGGGGGCCAGGCTGCGGCGCAGCTCCTCCACGTTCTGGTCGATCTTGGTCTTGAGCTCCGCAGAGTAGGGCAGGAGGCGCCCCTTGAGCTCCTCCACGTTCTGGTCGATTTTGGCCTTGAGCTCGTCGGCATAGGGCGTCAGGGAGGCCTGTAGGTTGTCCACGTTCTCTCGCAGCACAGTCTCCATGCGTTGCGCTAATGGAGTCAGCTGGTTCCGGAATTGTTCTGCCTGGGTATTGACCTGCGTGCGCAGCTCCTCGGCGTAGGGTGCCAGGCGCTGCTGCAAATCGCGCACGTTCTCACCAATCTTCTGGCTCACCTCGTTGGCATGGGGCAGCAGCCGGGTTCGCAGGTCCTCCAGTTCCTTCTGAATCTCCTCCTTCAGCTTCTCGGAGTCCTTGGCCAGGCGCTCATGCAGCTCTGTGGCGAAAGGTACCAACTTCTTCTGCAGGTCACTGGCATATGTGTTCACGTCTCCGAGTTTGTCCTGGAAGAGGGCACTGCCGGGAGAAGGCACAAGGGGGCCACCATTACACTTGGCATCCATGACAGGACCGTGGTTCCTTATTAACCACTCACCCAATGCACACCTGGCTAGGACATCTTTTTCTTTGCTGTCTTCCCCATGGTGGGTGGGTTGATAAATTGTGATTTGAGAGGCTGATAAAAGACTAAGTCCTTGTGTTGATTTTGTCTTTCTGGATCTCCCACTGAGTTGGAGTGACAGTCTCTGCCCATCATGTGACCTTGAGCGGTTTGTTTCCCCTTCCCCCTAATGTTTAATAAAGGGGTTGGACTTTGAAGTCCTTCCTAGCTCAGGTATGCTGAGACATAGGGTAACATTCTGTAAGAGAATGTTGCCATCTAGGCCCCTTCCAGGGTCTTCCAGTGAGACAAGGTGCTGATACCCTTGCATGTACCCACCCTCAGAGGCCCCTCAACTACATCTATGCCCCTTCCCCGGTCCCACTAAAGCAAGGTTGGGGAACTGTTTTACTACCACAATTTATAACATCATTCCTAGGCCATACAAAATTATCAACTTAAAAAATTAGCCTGCTAATATTTGGTCAAACATCTCATTAAAAAACTCTCCTTTAAGGAACTCTGGTGGGAGTCCTGGTGTGGCGCTGTGGGTTAATACGCCAGACTGCAAAGCCATTTAAACTGCAAGGTCGGTGGTTCAAGCTCACCAGCTGCTCCTCAGAAACCCTATACAGGGTTGCTATGGGTTAGAACTGACTCAATGGCACATAACAACAACAAGAAGTAGTGGTTACGAATCAGGCTGTGAACTGTACGACAGCAGTTCCAAATTACCAGCTGTTCCGCAGGAAAAAGATGAAGCTTTCTTCCGCTCCCATAGAGATTTACAGCCTTGGAAACTCTGTACAGGGTCACTGTGAGTCAGAACTGTCTCCACGGCCCATAACCACCACCACCAACCTGATGACTGGAACTGCAGTTGCCTTGCCAGGGCCAGACCAAATGATTTTGTGGGCCTTATTCTGCCCGCGAACCGGACTTTCCCCAGTCCTGCCCTGGAGCCTGTCCTGGAATGTATTTAAGCCCAGATCATATCATGTTTCCCTCCAAGCTTTTCTTTCCTGAGTCTCAAGGCCCTTTGCCGTACTAGAAAATTAAACTTATTCAGTCCAACCTCCCTGCTTACAAATGGGGATCCTAGGCCCCGAAACCCCAGGGTTATCCAGAAAATTAGTGGCAGGGCAGTGGGTGTTCTTAGCGCAGGTCCCTTGCCAACATGTTGCCTGGCGCGTAGGAAATCTCGCCCTGCAGGCTGTACCCCCTCTTACTTGAGCTGCTTGGTGAGCTCAGACTTCTGCAGGTGTTCCACAGCCTCCTTGGCATTGTTGCTCAGCTGGTTGAAGTAGTCCCATACCACATTGGCCACCTGATCAGGATTGACCTCAGCCCGGGCACCTGGGCAGGGAACAGAGAGTAGCAATTCGTGAGGCCCCATCTCTCCTTGCTTGCCCCTCTGTGTACACCCTGAGCCACAGACAGAATCATGCTGAGGGAGCCCAAACCCCACTCCCCTCTCTGAGCTTTGCTAGTTGGAAAACACAGAGGCAGGTGAAATTGGTCTAGCATCAATATGTGGTCTAGACTATGCCTAGGTGTGGGGCCAGTGCTCCTGTGAGCTACTTGGCAACTAGGCAACCCTAGGGACTGACCAGCACTCAGACTGTCCTCTCCCTTTGAACCCATTCTCTTCACCCTGTCCCATTTGATGCAGCAGCTGGGTCTTGCCTGACCACCCCATCCAAAGACAGCATCTACTCACTGGTGACAATCACCAGGGCCAGGACCACCGTCTTCAGTAACATCTTGGGCTCTTCGCTGGTCTGTGCCACACTGGATCCTTCCTATAATCTGAGGCAGAAAGCTCACCTGTGCTGCTGCTCAAACTGACTGAAGCTCAGAGTCAGCCAGACATTTAAACCCCTACCAGGCCGCCCTCTCTGCCGCCCTCCCCAGGGTGACTCCACGCTGGAAGGTGACACATTCTCAGGAGGCCTCTTGGACTTTAGTGACCCTCGGACGACGTGGAAGCTGACAGCAGATTGGGGCTTGGGAAGCTATCAGAAGAAGCTGATCTGTGCTTTAGCTCCACCCAGTCTGGAAGTGGGGAGACAAGAGCTAGAGGAGCAACAAGGCCCAGGGAAGCCCCTGAATCTATGCCAGGCTTGGGGGACAGAGTCCATGTTTCTTGTGATACCCTATAGGGAGAGCCCCCACCCCACATCTGTCACCCTGATTCCATCTTCAAAGCACCACCCACTAGACTGGGGCCATCCAGAGTTGCAGATGTCAGGAAAGCTAAGATCTAGGTCTCTTGTCACCCAGGTGCACCCAGGAGGAGGGGGCCCTTAGAGTCTTTGGGGAGGTGGGTGGGGTAGGAAGGGTCTTGCATTGGGAAGGGGGCCACTGTTAGTGTGCTCAATGCCTCCACTACTGCTAAACTGTGTGACCTTGTTCTAGTCATTCATTGTTCCAAGCCTCAATTTCTCCCTGAAAAAAAGAAAGAAAGAAAAGGAGGGGATGTTTTTAGGTATGTTAAATATTGTTTATATAGTGAGTAGTATCAGGTCTGGTACAAAGTAAGCACACAAAAAATAGTTGTTAACCTTATTCATAATAATATTGTTTTTCTGATTTGGAACAAAACAAAATAGGATGCTAAACCCTCCAACAAGAGTGACAGAAGTTAGTTCCACCCCTCTGAGGGAGTCACCAGATAGACTTGAGGTATGGTGGTAGGGGTGGGGCTGAAGTCTGGTTCCTGGCCCCCTTCCAACCCCAGGGCAGAATCACAGGACCTGAGACTCTCCAGAGTCCTTTCCTGGGAGGGGATGGGACCAGTGGTGATGCACCTATTTAGACTTTTAGCATTATATCCAAATGAGGTTACACCCACAGTCACCAACAAGGTGACAAATCATGGTCCACTTGGGTCCTTCTGCTGGACCACACTACCATTAGTGATCTGTGTTGTTGTTAAGAACCATTGAATCAGTTCCTACTCATAGTGACCCTGGATAGGGTTTCCAAGGAGCAGCTGGTGGGTTTGAACTGCTGACCTTATGGTTCACAGTCCAGTGCTGATCCTATAGCGCCACAGCAGGAGTCCTTTAGTGGTCTATGAATCCATCATTTTGACTGTTGACTTCTCTCCATGAGCACAGTGACCAACATGTAGGTTGTTATATGAATTCAGTCATTTATAAAATGAATGCCACAGGAGTAGACTACAATTTTGCTAGTCCTAGTTTACCATGCCTTTATTTTTCTCATGGCTTACCAAATTGAAGAGCACTAAAAGATCTTCCAATGCAGGGTCCCTACCAGGTGGTCCCCAGACTATTCATGGTCACCTCCATGGTCAACCTGGGCCATCTCTCAGTAGTTGCTAAAGAGTTTGTGCTCTGGAGTCTGACTGCCTACGTGTGCATCTGGGCTCCACCATCTACCATCATCATGGTCTTGGATAAATCTGAGAGGCTTCATTCAACAGGGCACATCCTCCTACACTGTGAGGACTTAATGAGATGATCTGTGTAGTACTTGCCATAGTACCTAGCACATAGTAAGTGTTCCTTAGATGTTAGGCCAGGCTTCGCCTCTGAAAGGTGTATCTCCCAATGGGAGCATTGACCCAGTGGTCCTCATCCTGATGCAGTCTGGGATAGGATGCACAGTGTTGGTGCTCAGTACCCTACCCTTCTTTCCCCCTGGACCAGATGTGAGGAGGAGAATGAGTCATTAAGAATACTGCAGCTGCAATTTGACCTCTTGGACTTAGAGACTAAGCAGCATGAGCTGACAGTATGTGGCAGGGTCAAGGGGCCCTGTCTCCTCACCTGGGAGTGACTGCACTGATTGGAGTATGTTCACGGTGTCTGCCAGGATGTGTATAGATTCATACAAGTCTGCAAATATTTTAACTGTTGGTGGGCACAGAACTGAGGCCCAGAGCTGAGGGGTTGATGTAAGGCCTGTGTGTGCATTCACAGCCACTGGGTGGCATGCCATCTGAAACGGGTTGTAGACACAAGGCCATTAATACACACATTTATTTCCAGGCGTCTGTGGGCGTATTTGATATCAGCCTGTAAGTGGGTTTGTGTCGTGGGAGAGAGAATTCTCTGCATTGCCTTTGGACACAGGTACCAGCAACTTCTGCAGGACCTGGCCATGGGAATCAGGGTAGTCCACAGTCAGTGGACACAAAGGACCTGTGTGATCTGGGCTAAGTTACATCTCCTTCTCTGAGTCTCAGTTGTCTTGTTTGTACATCAGACAGACCTAATGGTTGGCGAGGTGCTGAGCCTGGCAGTTCAGCATCCCACACAGGGACTATTCCAGGGGTCCATGCCAGGAGGAAATGGCTCAGTCCCTGCCAAGGACAGACACAGCCTGAAACAGGCAAATCGGACTGACACACAGACTCACATATGCTCCACACTAGTCCTAATGAGGGGGAGCCCCTGCCATAACAGAAAGGATTTGGGTGAGATACAAGGAAAAATGTAAGTGAACAAGGAAGAGCCTCTAGCTGGCAGGGCTGTATCAGGACCACCTGGTCCAGCCTGGCATCAGGATGTGGGTCAGGTTGGTTCACATAGTAAACCTCACCTGGACACAAGCAAAGTAAAACTTCAACACAGTCCTTCAGGATCAGTTTTGGTTCCAACTGGTCAAGCTCTGGCTACTCCCTAGAGCTTGTCTGTGGGCCCAGCCCAGAGCAGTCTTCTCATTCTACCCTATCACCAGAGTCTGCTCTCAAAGGCCCTGGTTCTCTCTGGAATGTGAGTGACTATTAGTCATCCATGGTCTCATCTCTCAAGGCTATTTGGTACTGTTGTTATTGTTGTTAAGTTCTGTTGAGTCGGTTCCGTCCCATAGCAACCCTGTATAGTTTCTGAGGAGCAGCTGGTAAGCTTGCACCACCGACCTTGCAGTTCAAACGGCTTTGCAGTCTGGCGCATTAACCCATAGCACCACACCAGGACTCCATTTGGTACTAGACTAGTTGTTTAAAGACCTGAATTCTGAATTTTGACTGTGTGTAGCTGGGGAGGTCTTTTCACTTCTGTGTCATGGGTCTACCATCTATAAAGCGGAACTTAAAATGTATACTTCATAGGATGCTGACTACATTTTTAACAGAAAACAAAAGTTTAAGCCAAAGGAATGAATCTCTAAGAGAGGAATTTCAAGTCTCAGCTATGGATAAAGAATCCAGAGGATATATCCAGGACACTTTCTCTGGCCCCTTGATTTTAAAGTGTGGAATTAGTTACTTTTTCCTAAGAAATGACCTTTTATCTAAAACCCTACCTGCCTGTCCTAGGGACTTCTCTCGCTTACAGATCATACTGTCTAGGGAAAGCGCGGTACTGGGGAGGAAGAGAGAGGTTCATGAGTCAACTACTTTGCATATTATTTCATTTACTTCTCACCAGAACTCTGAGGGATTGGTTTTACAGAGGAGAAACATGGAGCACTATGATGTTAGATCTCTGGTCCAGGGTCCTCCTATAAGAGTCAAAGGCATCATTAAAACCTTGACTCTTGGCTCCAAAGTCCTAGCAAACAGAAAACTAAGTTTTTGATTTTGCCATGGAACTCCTAGAGTAGTTCCTGGGGGTACCTCACCCCACAAGAAGAGCCCGAGATCCCTCCTGGGTAGCCAGTGGGTCCTGCTGAGCTCCTCTACTACAACCTCAGTTGGGTTCCTTCCAGGTGCTACCTGTCTGGGGAACTTAGAGGCCTGATATTTCCTAGCTGAGAAACCCTGAGGGCCAAGGTCTTATGAGGCACATAGCTGCTGGGAACCAGTCCCAGCTGCCCCGCTTGTGGGAGGGGCCCAGCCATGGGTTTAACATCTGCTCTAGAGACTGTTATCAGAGGGTCCAGAGGGCAAGGTGAAGAGGAGGGGAGAGGGGAGGGATAAAGGCCTTGGGCTCAGAGTGGCCTTTGCTCTTCTCCCACTAACCCCTGCTCTTGGGCTTAGCTGGGGGAGGCTTTTGGCTAAGCAATACCTGGGATTGAAGCCCCGAGATGGAAATTTTGGGGAAGGGAGTGTGCCCTCCCTCACACACCTCATTCACTGTCTTGATACCCCCCCACCCTCCTCACTCTAACCTGCTGAAAAAGGGCAGTTGCTTCCAAGTCTGAAGAAGCCCATGGCTCACTCCCTCCTTTTAGGCTGTTGTCAGCGCTTGCTGCTGACAAAGCAGGAATGGGGTGGGACCTGAAGGTTGGCGGACAAAGGGCTGTGACTGGGCTCCGAGCCCCCTGGCTTGTCCCCTAAGCCCCTCTCCCATCACACCAGCCTCTCCCTGGGGAGCTGCTAGAAGGATTGGAGTCTCCCCAAGTCCCACAACCCCTAATTTCTGAGCCCATCTGGTTGCAGGTGCAGTGTGGGCACCTACAGTTATCTAGAGATTTCCCAATCCTCCCACCTGGCCACATCTGGCCAACCTGCCTCAGGCCTTGGTCTGGACTGGTCAGCAGTGACCTTTGTCCAGTTCACTGGGCTTTCAGGGCCCACTGCCCTGGGACGATATAAGACTGGTCAGAACCCTCTGGTCTGCCTTCTCAGTACATCCCAAGAAGTAGCTGCTTCAGGTAATACCCCCTGGGGAGGGGGAGGGCAGGAGGATGGAGGAGGGACTGAAGAAAGTGCCTGCCCAGCAGTCAAATCCTGGAAAGGCACTGGCTTGATCCTAAAAGGCCTTAGGGCTTGTTAAGATGTCCCCTGATATTCACAGGACCCAGGGCTAGGGGTCTCTTAGCCAAAGCCACACAGGGCATAATAGTGGAAGAGCTGGAACTGACACCCAGAGCCATCTGCTTCAAATCTGTATACTTCCCCTCATTCTGCATCTTTCTGGCTGGAAGAAGCAAGCCACAGACAGAAAAAAAAAAAATGAGGGCAGAGGAGAGACAGAAATCTACCCAAAGTCACAGTGTGCTAGCAACAGAACCCTGGTGTCTCAATTCCCACTGTAGTGCTTGGGCCTCCTGGGGTCCCCTGAGAACCCTACGTCTCCCATATTAGTGTGGGAACAGTCCCCTCTCCTCTTGCCTTGTCCCAGCTCAGGTTCCACAGTAGGGATCATCCCACTTTCCCAGGGAGGGGCCCAGAATTGGGGGTGCGAAGACTAGGTGCCCCTCACAGGTTGTTTCCTGCAGGAACAGAAGTGCTATGCAGCCCAGGGTCCTCCTCATTGCTGCTCTCCTGGCACTCTTGGCCACAGCCTGTAAGCACTCAGTGGGGACTGGGCTGGGGGGCCAGGGAGGGGCAGCCCACTACCTGCCAAACCCTCAGGAGGTGGTTGGAGAGCCCAGGCTCTGATGGGTAGCTGGCAGGAATTGAGGGCTTGTCCCAGAAGCCCCATCCACTCAGCTCAGCCCCTGCTCTCCTCACAGGGGCTGTCCAGCCTGAACCTGACGATGCATCCTTTCCGGGAGTCATGCACTACATGCATCAGGCTGCCAAGACCGCCCAGGATGCGCTGACCACTGTACGGGAGTCCCAAGTGGCCCAGCAAGCCAAGTATGCTCACTGGCCCTCCCTTCGCCAGCCTGCATGCCAGTTCCTGTCTGCCCTGCCAGACACTAGCCCCAGACACAGAGAAAGAGCCCAGACACTGGATGAACACTGGGGTCCACACTTCTCTGAGCTTCAACGCTGTCTTCTGTAAAACAGGGGTCCTGCTCACAGTGCTTTGTCAGGGGCAGTGGTGAGGAGTCTCCATTCCTGCTGTCTCCACCTGGCCTCTTCTCCCTGTACTCTCCATCCAGTTAGGCCATTTTCACCCTCACTTCCTCTTTCAGTTTCTGATAGACTGACCAGAGGTTTCACTTGGGAGACCCCCACCTGATGCAGTTTCAGCCCAGAGGGATGGTTTTTTTTTGCCATGTTACCTAGCTGGGGAGTCCCTGGGTACTGAAAATAGTTTATGTGTTCAGCCCGTAACTGAAAGCTTGGTAATTCTCTTTGTGATTCAGAAGAAAGGCCATAGGACATGCTGTTGTTGGTAGGTGCCGCTGAGTCAGTTCCGACTCATAGAGACCCTATGTACAACATAACTGCCTACTTCAGAAATGCCCTGTGGAGCACAGCTCTACTCAGACACAAATGGGTCTCCATGAGTAGGGGTCAACTTGACAGCAATTGGTCCGGCCCTGGGACCAGTGTGAGTCAAAGTCTATCCTTCATCTCCCCGCTGTGGCTCCCACCTCCCAGCTCTATTAGTTCTTGCCTCCCCATCCATCCCGTCCCCACCTCCACTCAGCCAGACTAACATAATGGGCATGTTCACAAACATTCTTAATCCTCAGAAAACTGTGGTATAGGTACTAATTTCCCCCATTTTGCAGATGAGAAAATTGAGGCTCAGAAAGGTTAAGTGACCTGCCCTAGAACACACAGCTAAGCAATCAATCATCCAGTGATTTCCCCATGAAAGACTGCCTCCCACTGCCCCACCCCACTCCAAGCACCACATAGTACAACTCCAGGGACCCATTCACAGAGATTCCACTTTGCTGCCTTACCACTCCCAACTCAAGTCATTTCATTTCAGCTTGCTGCAAGCCATGGGGGTACCAGGATCTGACCCAACTGGAAGAAATGGGGGGAGGGGGTTAGACTCATGTTAGGGTTCCACAGCCTCTGTCTCATAACCACCCTGAACACTTTTGATAGGTGTTTCCTGCCTGAAGTTCCAGGGACATTGCCAGGTGGAGCAGGCAGCAGGGACAGACAGTGGGGGTACAGGTGGGAACCCCATGGATGTCTCTGCCTACAGGCTCTCACACCCACATCTGTCACTTCCCTCACTGATTTAACCCTTAGGGGCTGGGTGACTGATGGCTTCAGCTCCCTGAAAGACTACTGGAGCACGTTTAAGGGCAAGTTCACCGGGCTCTGGGATCAGGTCACTGACGCCCAACCAACTCTGATCCCTGAAGACTTCTAGACCTCAACATCCCAAGTCTGCCTGCCCATTCATCCCACTGGTGCCTTGAGTCCTCCAGCTTCCAGGGCTGCCCCCAAGGTTGCCTGAACGGAACAATATTCTCAGTCCTCCTTCTCCCTACCCCACCCCAGATCTGGCCTACCCCAGGGCATGCTGCCTCCAAATAAAACTGGACAAGAAGAAGCCATGAGTCCGACATTCCACTTGTGCCATGTATGCTTGGGCATGGGAATGTGTCAGGCTGTTGTATGGGTGGGCCCTGGAACTCCCCACCTCTAGTAGCTGGGTGGCCTTTGGGTCCAAATATCTTCATCTGTAAGGTAGGAATAGCCCCCACGTGCCTTGCCAGGTTTGTGTGGAGTATCACACAGAATAATAGGTTTGAAAATACTCTGATAAATTGTCAAGTGCTGTACAACATGACTTGAGTGTGTGATGTCTCCAGACAGTGGGCCTGGTACTATTATTTCACCATCCAAGTTATGATGGTGTGACTTCACCACAATTGTGGAGCTGACTTGTACTACCCGGGCTACCTGTGTCTCTCAACCACTCTTGAAGGAAGGGAGGTAGGATGGGGGTAGTGGTTGGAATAAGATGCAGTAACACGCTAGTCTTGGCCTTACCACTGAATACCAGCCTTAGTTTCTTATCTGTAAATTGGACACATTAATATCCTCCACTGTAGGTTTGTTGTGAGAATGAAGTGTGGAGGTGTTTCGAAGTGTTTAACACAGCACCTGGTTGGCATTGTTGCTATGTTGGAACATTCAGTCCCATCCGTGTCCCACATGGAAATTCTACTGTTACTTTAGAAATCTACTTGGACCTCTCTTCTGGCCCACTTGGAACCAAGGACCTTAGCACTCCACACGGGAAAAAATATTCCCACCCAAATCTGTTTGATACCTACTATAGATGTGGATGATTGGGAACTAAAAAGCCCACTCTTTTATCTGGTATTGTTGTTAAGTGCCGTCCAGACCCTGTATAGGGTTTTTAAGGAGCAACTGGTGGGTTTGAACTACCAACCTTGTGGTTCAAACTGATGTTGTGGTCCAGTGCTTATTCTACAATGTTTGTTAAAATAGTCTGGAGATAAAGGAGAGGGAGATTCAGCAAACTGCTTGAGGAAGCAAAAGGCCCTGTGGAGAATGAGCTGGGAAGGCCCCACATATTTCCAACTCTGGGAAACTGTGTGGATACAAACAAGTGTGTGTCGGTGGGAGGGAGGCAGACTTGTGAACAGAGATATGCATGTGAGAATGTATATATACATGTGCACATCCATATCAACTTGAGTACCTGAGTGGCCACACACTTTAAAAAACAAACCAAGCTCAGGGCTGATGGGACTAAAAGAACAATCTGGTCCATCCTGCTCTTCAACCTCAATGAGTGACTACACATCTCCTAGTTTCTGCTTTCTCATTCATAAAATGAGTTTAATAACAACCTACCCCAAGATTTTGAGGAGGCTTTGATGTGACGGATATGAAAACATCTTAGAATTTAAAATAGGATTCCTGATATGGCACTGTAGGATTAGCACTGGACTTTGAACCTCAAAGTTGGCAGTTGAAACTCACCAGCTGCTCCTCAGAAACCCCATACAGGTGTCACTCACTGAGTTGGAACCAACTCGACAGCACTTAACAACAACAACAACAACAACTACCTGCAAGAAGTGGTGATTCTTTTTCTGACACAGGTCAGAGCTGGCAGAAGTAAGGGGTGACAGGGTTTGGAGGCTCCCGGGAGGCAGGGAGGCTGTGCTGGAGGGAAACAGTGAGTGTTTCCAGGTAGGTGTGGGGTGTGAGGAGTGGGATGCTGCCTTTGTGAAGAAGAAAAGGAAAACATTTGTTTAAGCGTTTGCTGAATTAATAAAGGAGAAAGGAGCAAGTTTCAAGCTCTTAGATGTGAACCTGCCCAAATTCTGCCAAGTACCAATGGCTCCTTGAGGTTACTATACTCCCCTGTGGCTCAGAAGGCTGGAAGAGGTTCTTGTCAACTGCCTAGATCTACATGTCCACAGGCCAGCCTCCTGCCACCAGAACACCTCTGGGGACTGGAAACCCACTTCTGCCAGCAAATCTAACCCTCTTCCCTGACCCTCCTCAAACAGAGTTGCCTAGTTATTTATTTTAGAGGCTCGTTTGAAGATACTTAGCGTTGTGTGGTACTGTGGGATAAAGCACCGGTCCGAAAAGTCGGTTTGAACCACAAGGTCAGCGGTTCAAACTCATCAACCGCTCCTTGGAAACCCTGTACAGAGTTACTATGAGTCGGAATCGACTGTCGGGCTGGTTCTCTGTGTTCCGCTTTCTAGTTGGAAGTGCTAGTAGAGCACTGGACTGCAAACCACAAGGTCTGCAGTTCAAGCCTGCCAGCCGCTCCATGGGAGAAAAAACGATGAGACTTTTTGTCCCCTCGAAGATTTAAAGCCTCAGAAAGCCTGTACAAGATCGCTTTGAGTCGGAACCGACTCCATGGCACCTAACAGCAACTGCCCACCAGTCCATGGATGAAGATCCTGAAGATGCCCTGTCTGGGCTTACAGTTGATGAACTCCTGTGTGAAAACCAATACTGGAAGCCCCTCTGCCCTAGTCAAAGCCCTGCCGGCCTCCTCAGACGGTTCCCTCCACATCCATTCTCCCCAAAGAAAGAAGCTGCGTCCCAATTTGTAAACGTTTATTCTACGAAACGCAACGATGGTAAGAGGGCCAAGGAGAAGCCTAGCCGACCCCGGGATGGGGCAGACAGTCGCTTCACTGGGAATCCAGCTTCTTGGAGGCCTCATCCATCATGCTCATGAAGCTAGCCTTGAGGCTCTCAAGCACGGGCATGAGGCCCTGGCGGAAATCCTCCAGCGCCGGGGAGGCCTTTTCGCGGAGCGCACTCAGGTGCTCGCTTGCCTTGGTGCGGTACTCTGCTAGACTGCCGTCCTTGAGCGCCTCCAGCCGGCTAGCCAACCGCTGGCGCAGCTCCTCGCTGTAGGGGGCCAGCTGCGTGCGCAGCGAATCCACGTGCGTGCGCGCACGGTCCCGCAGCTCCTCGCCCAGTGGGCTCAGCTTCTCGTGCAGCTCCTGCAGCTTCTGGCGCGCGTTGTCACGGAACTCCTCGCCCAGAGGCGCCACCTTCTGGCGGTAGAGCTCCACCTCCTCGTGCCACTTCTTTTGGAATTCGTCCAGGTAGGGCTGTACTTTCTGCTTCACCTCCTCCAGGTCCTTGTTCATTATTTGCCTCAGCTCGGCGGTCTCCTTCTCTAAGTTATCCCAGAATTGTTGGGACACGGGGCCTATCTGCTCCTGCAGCTTGCTGAAGCTGCTGCTCAGGGTGTCCCAGTTGTCCAAGAGCTTCAGGCTGGAGGGGAAGAGAAGGGCTCATGGATGGCCTGCCCGTGGGCCCTGGACTGATCTGGAGTTGCACGTTCAATGCCCCGCCCCCTCCCGCTTCCCTGTCGGCAGGCGCAGGCAGTAGCTGTAGACCATCCTCCCTGCCTACCTTTCCCCATCCACTATCTCACCTCAACCTCCCCACATCCCACTGTACAGAGGGACTGAGGAGCAGAGAGCTGCAGGGGCTCACCCAAGATTGTTCAGTGAGCAAGAGACAGAGCTAGGCCTTGTGCCCAGCTTGACCTATCCCCAAAGCTGGGCTTTTCTATACTTCACAAACCTCTTTCCCTGCACTATGGTTGGGCCAGAGAGGGGCCAGTAGTTCTGAATGGGAAGGGGCTGGTGCACTAGCAGGCAGATATGATGCTGTGGTAACTACCTGCATAGCACAGACTCGCCCCTCTCTGGGGGGCTGTGACCATGCCTGGGGATTCCATTCTTGTTTCTCCATCCTGACCTTCGATGAGGCATAGCGCATCCACTAGCAGGTGAAGATTTGGTCAGCCTGCCTACAACATCTTCCTGCAGGCCTCTCTGCCTCACCCCCTACCCCACCCCAAGAGCATCAAGCAGCCTCTTCTCCTGCCCCAGACCCCTGGCTGGCTCCTTACTTGAGCTGTTTTCCCAAGGCGGAGGCTTCAAACTGGGTCACATAGTCTCTGCCGCTGTCTTTAACTGCGTCCAGGTAGACAGTGGCCATATCCTTCACTTGACTCCAAGGAGACTGGGGTTCATCTGCCTGCCAGAAATGGCGAGCCTGGCTCCCTGCAGACAGGAGGGGAGACCAGATGAAGCCCCTCTGTGGAGTGGGGTCTGAGTTGGAATGCCAGATGGCATGAGGGGCCATGCAGGGGCTGGATCACAGGGTTTAGGAAGTAGGGTGGAGGCCACCTACCCGTCAGGAAGAGCACAGCCAATGTCAACACCACAGCTTTCATTTTGAAGGGTCTTGAGTGACCTGGGGGACAACAGGGGCCTAGCTGAGTAGAGCCTGTAGCATGGGGGAGTGCAGGGTGAAGAGGGGCCACAAAGTGGGGGAAGGCCTCAGGTATCCAGGGTCTCCCATGGGCAAGTGTCTGGAGCGCCTCCTTTGCCTAGAGCCAGGGAGTTTGGAGTAGACAGCAGCACTTACCTCAGGCTCTCTGAAGTCTCTGAACCTCTGAGTGGTCAGCTCCCCGCTGGACCTATTTATGTCTCCAGGCAGGGGCAGGGCTGGGAGGCTGATAAGCTCAACCTGGGCCTTGCCGCTGCTCACTGGTCCTGGCGATGTGGAACCTAGCGTTCAAGGGTCAGCTCTGTGCCTGGGGCCTGGCAAATAGAGTGGGCAAACAGGAAGCCACAGGGGCTGCGGGGCTAGGGATCAAGGGCTCAGGTGGGGGCAGGAGAGGAATGGTTGCAGACTTTTGGGTCCCCAGGGTTGGGGTCAGCTGCACCTGTTCCCTCCCCTCATGAGTGTGGGTGTGTTCAACATTGTCTATTGTGTCGGAGCAGCAGGGGAGGGGGACTGCTGAAACTCCCAGATCAGGAGATCTCCTCCCCTCCCCTCCCTTTGCATTCCAGGGAGATTATCTCACCCCCTGTCCCTACCCCTTCCTTCCCTCCCCTCTCCTCTGCAAAGGCAGCAGATACACACATTCCTCCCACACATACTCTGTCTCTTGTCTAGTTCCACGCCATCCAACCCAAACCACTGCCAACGAGTTCATTCTGATTCATGGTGAGTCTATACAGGGCTCCCGAGGCTGTAAATCTTTATGACAACAAAAAGCCTCATCTTCCTTCTGAGGAGTGACTGGTGTGTTTGAACTGCTGACCTGTGCTTATCCTACAGCACCACTAGGTTCCATGATTTTGGTAAGTGCTGTCAAGTCGTTTCTGATTCATAGCCACCCTGTATAGGGTTTCCAAGGAGCGACTAGTGAGTTTGAACCTCCGACCTTGCAATTCAAGTAGACTTTGTGGTCCAGTGCTTATCCTACAGCACCCCACCAGAACTCTGGGGCTCCCTAGACCTCCTAAACCTATAACCTAATCATCAAACATGGGGCTTCCAGATTTAAGATTTCAGAGACCTGTAACATTTCAAAACAAGTGTTACAAATCAACATGAAATTTTCTACTTTTAATTTGTGATGTTAAAAAAAAAGGGTTGCCATAGAGCTGATTCCAACTCATGGTGACCACATCTGTGTTAGAGTAGAACTGTGTTCCACAGGGTTTTCAATGCTGGTTTATTACTTCTGAGGTGCCTCTAAGTGGATGTGAACCTCCAGCCTTTTGGTTAGCTGCTAAGCATGTTAACTGTTTGCATCCCCTCAAAACACCCTACCATCTGCCATAACCATGATTTCAAAAAGGGCATAATCTCAGCATAAAAGATACACACTTGTTGTTGTTAAGTGCCATCGAGTTGGTTCTGACTCATAGCAACCCTGTATAGTGTTTCCAAGGAACAGCTGGTGTGTTTGAGCCACTGACCCTGCAGTTCAAACCTAACTTGCAGTTCAGTGCTTTTCCTATAGTGCCACTTATATCTTAACGGAAAACTCTTTGCACTGTTCATAATTTTTATTTGATCACACACAACTGAGAATGGATAGCAGTCCTAGAAATCACTAGTGTAAAGGGAAGACTCCAGATAACAGGAGACCTTGGTTTCTCTTTCATTTTACCTGCAATGTGCACGAGAATCCTGAATCAATATAATGTCTCTGAGTCTCAGTTCCCAAACTGTGAAATGGGGACAAGAATGCTCCATTTGCAGAATTGTTGGAAGCCCACTTGAGGCCCTGTGATTGTGACAGGTTGTGTGCCCAGGCTCTCCAACACCAGCTCACTGACAGGGTCAGAATCAAAAGACCCGTGAATACCCAAGCTGGGAGGGGTGTAGAGAGCACCCCACCCACCATCTAATAGACGAGGAGATGGAAGAGAGTGGAAGGAATTTGCCCACCTTCTCTCAAGGAGTCAGGGGCAGGGCTGGACCTAGAATCCAAGTCTCTGAACTTAGGACCCAGGGCAGAAATATCTCATCTACTCAGGAAACTCCCTAACACTTTACACCATTTGCTGGGTCCTCCTTCTCTTGCCAGTCTCGTGCATTTCATCTCAGAAGGCACCTTTGGAACCAGACCATTTTAGGTTTGACTCCCAGCTCTGCCACTGCTTGAAACTGGGCAAACTGCCTAACTTTCCTATGCGTCAATCTCTTATCTGTGAAATGAAGGTAATGATAGAACATGCTGCTGTTATTGTTAAGTGCCATGGAGTTGTTTCTGACTCATAGCGACCCTCTGTAGGATTTCTGTGCAGCGGCTATTGGGTTTGAACTGCTGACCTTGTGGTTCAAGCCCACCTTGCAGTCCAGTGCTTTATCCTACAGTGTCACACGTGAGGTAGGGATTACATGTGTGGTAGCCGAATAATGTCTCTCCCACCCCCCCAACCAAGCTGTTCACGTCCTAATCCCCAGAACCTCTGAATATTTTACCTAATATGGCAAAAGGGATTTTGTAGATGCAATTAAATTAAGCTTGAGATGGGAGTGATTATCCGGGATTATCCAGGTGGGCTACCACAGTAGCAGAGATCAGCAGAGTGATGTGATTGCTGGAAGGGGGCCATGAGCCAAGGAATGTCTCTCCCCTAGAGTCTCCAGAAGGAATGCAGCTCTACTGACATCTTGATTTTAACCTTGTTGTTCGTAAGTGCAGTCTAGCTGGTTCCTAGACAGCAGCCCTCTGTAGGGTTTCCAAGGAGTGGCTAGTATAGTGGGTTTGAACCACCAACTTTGTGGCTAGTATTCCAGAGCTTATCCTTACAGTGCCACATACACTCCTAGGGAGACAATTTGGACTTTTGACCTCTAGAACTTTAAGATGATAAATCTGTGTTGTGGTAATCAAAGGTTATAGCAGCAACAGGAAATGAAAACTGTTAGAAGGGAACCTGTTGTTGGGTGCCCATGGGTAGATTCGGACTCATAGCAACCCCATGTGACAGGTGGAACTGCTCCATAGGGTTTTCTTGATTGTAATCTCTACAGAAGGAGCTCTGTTCCGCAGAGCCACGGAGTAGGTTTGAATTGCCTTTCACTCAGCCGCCTAATCATTCCACCACTGGGGCTTTTGAGAAGGCTAGCGTAGTGGTTAAATCAGGCTGCGAACCACAAGGTCAGCAGTTCGAAGCTACCAGCTGTTCCGCGGGAGACAGATGAGGCATTCTGCTCCCGTAAAGATTTACAGCCTCGGAAACCCTGTACAGGGTCGCTATGAGTCGGAACCGACTCCACTGCACATTACAACAACCTTGCATGTAGTAAACTGTAGCTATTCTACGTCCTGGGATCCTAGTCTCTGCTACTTCATTCTTTTGTTTCTAGGAACACACTTGCATTGTCAGATGTTTTGTTGTTGAGTGCCATTGAGTCAGTTCCAAGTCATAGCCACCTTGTGTAGGGTTTACGAGGAGCAGCTGGTGTGTTTGAACCACTGACCTTGTAGTTCAAACCAACTTTGGGGTCCAGCACTTTAGCCTCCAGCACCACATTGCACTCTCCAATTCAAAGCACTAAACCCAGATGTCTGTTTCTGGCAACAGCATGCTGAGAGGCAGGACAGCTTTCCAAGGACTGACCCAGCCTGAGAGACCTGTGGGGTCACAGAGTGGGAGGTCACCTCAGTGAACAGCCTGCCTAGGCTGCCACTTGGTCACAACTTGTAGTGGGGAGTGGAAGACTGGCCTCTACTGGGAGGTCCCTTCCTTTTGGGGATAGAGCTTCTACTAAGCAGCATATGGGGGATGCTTACTGGTTGACTCTAAGCAGCTTGCCACGGTTTTGCCCTTCTCTTTGGTTTATTACTGAAATGACTATTGTAACTAAATCAAATATCCAATATTTGCATAGTTCTTCGGAGCCAAGGATCCCTGATGGATAAGCACTGGTCTGCAAACTGTAAGGATGCTGGTTCAAACCCACCAGCTGCTCCACGGGAGAAAGGCGAGGCTGTCTACTCCTGCACAGCCTTGGAAACCCATTAAGGTCGCTATGAATTGGACGATGGCAGTAGGTTTAGTGGCAAAGCCCTTTGACAGTTAAATTACCATGTCCCTGTAAGGCTGCTAGGTCAAATACTATGATTGTAATTTTGCCTATGAGAAAACCATAGTTCAGAGCTACACTGCAGCCTATTTTGTTGTTGTATGCCGTCAAGTCAGTTCTGACTCAGAGTGACCCTGTATAGGGCTTCCAAAGAGTGACTGGTGGGTTTCAGTCACCAACCTTGTGGTTAACAGTCCAGTGCTTATCCTACAGTGCCACACCAAGACTACTACATTCTATCAACATTAGTATTTGCTATTGGCAGGACAGGAAATTTGGAGTGGGGGCCTGACTTCTAGTTCTTTGTGGTGGCCAGCAGCAGACCCCCTGACTCCCATAGCCTTTGTATCTGTCCAGTTTTCTGGCTCTGGGATTTCAAGGCATTGGTGTAGAGGTGCTTTTTGACAGCATCTTATACGCAGGAATGTTCCATTTTCAATATATTTACTATTGTGCCTATTCCATTTAATTGTAATATATTTGGTTTAAACTAGCCCAATCCCCTTGTCCCTCATATTTTGGGAAGGAAGAAAGTCTTTCTGGACAGCAGGTTATGGTAAAAACTAACAATGAGTGACAAGCTGTGCTCATCCGGCTGCACTGTGAGGGTCCAGCCAGTCTTAGCGCCCATTGAATGAACAAGTTGTTGAGGAAATTCAGGGCCCAGCTACAACACTGGCCATTATTCCCACCACCCTCTCGCAGTGCGGGAGTCTGCAGAGTGACCCGGAATCCCTGACATATCTGGAAATGCTGGCAGCCAATGGCAGGAGTGGATTTTGTTCAGAATGATTTAGCGACTCATTTGGGTTAACAAGCTGATCTTTCACAATATATGTCCTAATGTGCTCACTCTGTCCCTTGGTGGCCTGGCAATAGTAGACACTCAACAAATATTTGCTCATTGGCACACTAATGAAAAGGTCACCAGGATGGCAAGGGACGTATGAAGGAATTGGCTTTGGGAAGAGATTTGAGGAAACTCAAGCACAGAGCCCTGGGCCACAGGCCCCTCTCAGAACAGATCATCTGAGGGTGTGTGTGCAGACTGAGATGGGATACTTAGGGATTGGGGGGCAGGCTGGAGGTTCTGACTGAGCAATCTGTTGCTGATTTTAGTGATAGAGAATTGATGCTTTTGAGTTACGGTGTTGGAGGAGAATATTGAAAGTACCATGGGCTGCCAAAAGAACAAAAAGATCTGTGTTGGATTTCCAAGTGCAACCAGAGTGCTCCTTGGAGGCCAGGATAGCCAGACTCCATCTCTCATACTTCAGACATATTGTCAGGAGGGACCAGTCGCTGGAGAAGGATATCATATTTGGGTTAGAAAAAGAGGAAGACCCCCAGCGAGATGGATTGACAAAGTGGCAACATCAATGGGCTCAAGCGTGACAATTATAAGGTTGGCCCAAGACACCAGGCAGTGTTTCGTTCTGTTGTGCATAGGATCGCTATAGGTCGGTACCTACTCGATGGCACCTAACAACAACCACCCCAGTGTAGCCCCTTAACAAACTACAATTGAGCCAGTTCTGACTTATCCTGCAGGACAGAGTAGAACTCTCCCTAAGGTTTCCTTATGGGAGGGAAAATAAAGCCTCAGCTTTCTCCTGTGGAGCAGTTGGTGGGTTTGAACCACCAACCTTGTGGTTAGCAGGCCAACGCTTAATCCACTGTGTCACCAGGGATCCTTATTTAGCCCCTTTTATTGTTAGGTGCCATGGAGTTGGTTTTAACTCATAGCAATCCTGAATAAAGTTTCCTAGGAGCGACTGGTGGGTTTGAACCACCAACACTGCAGTTAGCAGTTCAGTGCTTATCCTACAGTGTCACACCAGGCCCCTAGGGTAGGGTATTGCTACCAACTAGATACAAGATTCTCTCCTGCCTTCCTGCCCAGGTGACTAAGTAGAAGATATAGTTACTCCGGTGACCAGCCTCCTTGGGTGGTACACTGGCCCTAACTTCTTGATCCTTGCAGTTGGTACAAAGACAGGAAGAAGACAGATTAAGGGTCTGTCAGGATGGCTTCTATCAGGGACCTCTGGGTCTATATACCCATTTACTCTCCAAGCTCATTCTACCTCTAACCCAAAAGTACCCTGGCTGATTTCTGAATTTTGTAAAAGGTTGTTACACGTCTTTGAGAGGACCTGGGCAAATCACTGTTGGTGAGTCCAGACTCACCTGTCCTTAACTGGGAGTGTGTATGGACGGACCTGAAAGGATTTCTAAATGGTGCCACTTTCTGATCCACTACAGACTTGAAGGCTGATGGAAGTGCCCTTCTCTCTCCCTTCTTCCTACAAACTCAATTATTTCCACGTTTCAGTAATCCCCCTTCAAAGAAGTCCTTCAGTTGGTTGTTAGCGAGGCCCTTGTTAAACATTTTACTTTGGCTTTTGGAGTCCAGGTGGAAAAAGAGGAAAACAAAAGGAAAAGTCCCCTTTCTCTCCTAACACTTATTTGTGATGATTGGGGTCACTGCTAAAGGCCTCACCCTGGGCCACCTCTTCGTGGTCCACCCCCATCTCTTCTTCAGAAGTACTTTCTCAAGGAACTCATTTTCCAACAGACTCAGCAAACTCAAATGCTTTCTTCTGCGGGGACAGAGTCCAAGCTGGGTGCCTGAGTACACAGTGTAAAGTTAAGTTCAGGATCCTAGAGGAAGCTAGTTTCACAAGGTGGGGCGAGATAATGATGGTTCTCAAAGTTACCCCTAGAGCTTGGCAGATCTCTCCAGCTTCCAGTGTTTCTAGCTTCCATTCACATGGATGCTTCTCCAAGCTAGACTCTGAACCACAGGGCAAATAATATATCAACATGAGATCATAATCAGGTTTTTATTTTCATAATTTCTTACTGTCCCCAACTAAGTTAATGAATTTAATTGCCCCCCCCCCAAAAAAAAAAAAAAGGATGAATGCTCTTACTACAACATAGGTCTGGAGATTTTTAATCCTTTTAAAGTTCAACATAAATGAGAAAGAAAAAAATACTTCTGACATTTTCAAATAACAGAAATAGTAAAGTATATCCATATACATTCAACATACACTGCGCATATTAGTTACTACAATACAAAGCAATGGTTTCTTTTAAAAGTGTAGTTCGCAAGATGGCACATTAATAGGCTCACTGGCTTTCATCGGGGTGGTTGCTACAGGGTGGCAATCTGCTCTTCCACAAATACAGTATCATGTAAACACAACAGGCAGGGCTTGTGGTGGTGGGTTTGGGGGTGGGGAGGTGGGACAGAGTTGGAATGAGCCCAGAGAAATCAAACAAAAGCTTTTGGGGGCTTTCCTGGAAACCTCATTCTGCTGAGTAGTTGGTGGTCCCGCCAAGGGGAGGGAAGGTCGGGGACCCTGGAAACATGAGCTAGATCCCGAGAACGGCCTTTGCATTACAGAATCCACTTAGGGGTAGTGGGTCCAGGACCTGAGCTGCCAGTTATCAGTGGAGAAGAGCAAGCTGTCTGGGGATCCTGCCAGCAACACCGAGATGGTAATGCTGGGTACCAGCTTTCTTCTGTGCAAATTCAGGGGGCAAGACTAGGAGGGGACTAAGGACCTTTTATTCTCCCAGGAAAAATGATCAAAAGTCAGAACATTTCTATCTCTTTCTTGTGTTAAAGATAAGAAATAGATAAGCCAGATCCTCTCTCAGCCCCCAGCCAGTAAAGACGACTTTGGTTTCTAACAGTAAAGAAAATGAAAGATAATGACGCGAACAATAGCTGTTGTATCTGCACTGCTTCAAAGGGGAAGAGAAGCCCACTACATCTGTCACTGGCGCGGGAAAACTGTTCCACAATTACAATGTTTAAAGAAAATACTTTGAACAAAAGGTGCAAGTCACAATTCAGATAGAACAGAATCTGGTTAAACTTTTCTTTTTTAAAGGAAAATCCCTTTTGTCCTTATTTATTAATAATCATAACAACAATAATATTAACATTTACCAAACGCAATTCCTACATGATCAAGAATTAAAATAGGGGCTGAGGCTGCACAGGGATGAGGAGGAGGTTAGGAGAGAGGCAGGACCCGAGACAACCTCGTATTTGTTTCGCTTGCCTGTGACAGAATGGCTGAAGGGGAAAGCATACATATATTTATATCTAAAAGGAGAAGTGATCCTTTTTATAGCACAATATGAAATGAGGATGAACGAAGACACACAAAGTACAGAACACCACTATTGGGTGTTCAGACCAGGGGGAGGACCAGCAGGTTACAAGAGGGGAGCTGAGTTACACACCAGAGAGAGGGCTCAGATGGAGACATTGTAATTGGCAACCCATCAAAGCTGGGTCACTCGGCCTCCAGGCTAAAGCTTTGACATGATCTAGGCTGGGCCAGACATGCTTCCCAGTGGATCCCAGCAGTGACGCTCTCTCAGGTTCCAGGCTTGGGGTTCCTTACACTCTGTTTTCTGTTCTCCAAGTGCCAGAGGCCAATGCCCTTTGCTTTCTCTCCCTCCCCCCACTCATGGCCAGGCAGACTCCAGTGAGTATTAGCCTTTAATATTTGCTCCTAGGGGAGATCAATGCAGGCAAATGGAGGGTGTTTGTTCTATGAGTGAAGGCTGGGGAGTGGGGTGGCTCAGAGTCCCCTGGCCTCTGAACTGTAAATGCTTTGCTCTCATCTCAAAAATGGGGAAAGAGGGAAGTAGAGGAAGGAGAGGCAAAGGAGGGGGAGAGAGAGAAAAAAAGAAAGAATGAAGAGGAGGGAAGGAAATAAAGAAAGAAAATACATCATCTCCAAAAGCAAACCTAAGAAAAGGGGGACAAACTGCTCCCCCAAAAACCCACCAACTCAAACACACCAAATGCACCTTCACAAAAGGTAGAGAACATGGATGTCTTGTTTATTTCCTTGGTGACTTGATCATACAAGCAACCCCCCTCCTCAGGACCCCAGAGAACAGCACACCACGACCCAAGTGTGAGGGAAGGAGCCACAATATTCTGGGTGGAGAGAAACACAATGGGGATTTGGCGCAATGCGGCTAGATACTGTTGGTTTCAAATGAACGTTTTCATTCCCAAGCTGTACACAAAACCTGCAACAGAGCAGACAACAGAGGATTGGTTTGAAAAACTTCAACTATCCCACTGAAAAAACACACATACGCACATAAATAGTTCATGTTTACCTCATGTATTTTAAGAGGCTTACCACATTGAGGCTCTGATATGGATTTGCTAGATGGCTTATAACCTTCATTAAGGCTATTCTGACCAAGACTTTTCAAAGACAGAACCAGTAATACCTACTGTATACCTTTAGGCATTATTCTAGTCACAGTGGTCAATTTATCCATTTTCTATCACTGGTCGCTTATCACCTGTTTGCCCTATCTAGAATATTTTGTCACATGCTTTATACAGCCACAAGAAGTATATTTTCTTTCTGGGTTTCATCCTTTATGACCATATTATGGACCCTTTCTTTATTACCCTGGCTGCAGGTCACCTCTGACCTTGTCAACTATAGAGACTATACTACTTAAAATACAATGCGGGCCACGTGTCTTGTTTCCTATCAATAAACCAAGGAACTCTGTTCATTCCCACTGAAAAAGAAACACTCAGAAAACAAAGACCCAGCTAGTACAGTGCACAATGACAATTCTAGAAGCTCGGGAAGCCCTGAGCAGAAGTGTGGTGCTGGCCACAACGCATGAACTAAATCTGCCAATGTGACTGGAGTCTGGCCTTGGCTAGGATGATACTCACTCTCCAGTTCTTGCTACACGCCTGCCTGCTCCATGCTGAAGGAGACCTCAGGGTGCTTGTAGCTGAGTAGGATGTCTGTAATACATGTAGACGGATAGCAAGAGGGGTTTAAATGCTGGCTGCCATCAGTCAGGTCTGGGTGTTCATGACCTTCCAGACTCTGCCTACATTCTGCAGACCAAAAAAGAAACCAACAACCATGTTAAGTCTGGCAGGGAAGAAAGGAAGAGAAGGGGCAACCTTTGTGAGGGAGTAAGCTTATTCCCAGCCCTAAATTCTCAGCTTATGTAGTTGTTAAGTGCTGTTGTTGTTGTTGTGTGCTGTTGAGTCCATTCTGACCCACAGTGACCCTGTATAGTAGGGCCTTTATTTATTTATTGACAAGAGGCCTGAGGGTCAGGATTACTCCCATATTTCCCTCTAAATATTCCTTTCCTCTCTTCCTCCATTTTCCTTTACCCTCTCGCACTTTTAATGCTAAAGAACTGCTCCTTCAGGAAGATTTACCTCTTTAAGGGAGAAGACAATACTTTTACTGCCAATAGATACCGATTGCTGGGAGCTCTGTGACCTAGGCATTGTGCTAAGAGCTTAATAGGCTTTAAGTCAATTAACCCTTACAGCGTAAGCTAGGCTAGAAACTCTACTGTGCCTGCCACTTTACAGCTGCCCACCTTGGGTTTAGAAAGGTTAAGCGCCTTGCTTACAGAAACTGAAAAGGGCAGAATCAGGATTTGCTGTGGACCTGTCCAGTCCAGGCCCTACGCTTTATCAGCTAAGACACTCTCCCCTCCCTCTACTGAGTCCAAGGTGAGATGGAAATGTTCCATTAGGATACAACATTCCCTGTACTGAGCTAGAAGTAGGCTCGTTAAGCACTCATATTCTGGGGAAGGGTTTTGTATCCAGAACCCTTTGGAGATGCTGCAGCCCTGACTTCCCAGGAATTCTACACAGAAGAGGGGAGCAGTGACAAAGACCGAGGGAGAGCCCCTTCCAGGAACTTCTCTAGGGTTCCTCACCTTCATTATCCTCATCCTGAAACTGCTGGCTCCCCATGAGTGAGGACTGGCTGAGAACTGCATCTGACATCCGGGCGGAGCTAAGTGCTTTCCCGGCCACAAGACTCATTCCTGGCAAATTATCCAGCTGCACCTGCAGAAAATAGTTAGGAAAAAAAGTAAGGATACCAGAGAATGTGCCACTTTCAGGCGACCCTTATGACATGTGTTCCTACGGGAAGATCACAGGCAATGGCAGCCTGCCTAGACTTCTAGCTGAGGGGACACTGCAACGATGACAGTGTAAGAAACCAACCTCTGAACAGGGGAGGCGGTTTGAGTGGGGGTGCAGAAATCTCAGCTAGTGATTACATTCCCTTGACAGCTACCTGTCGTTCTAAAACCAAGTTCCTGACCTTATTTCATCCTCACTAGGAGTTTGTTCTAAGATAGCATTGTCCAAAAGAACTCTGCAGTCATGGAAATGTTCTCTATCTGCCTGGACCACTATGGCAGCCTTGAGCCACAGGTGGCTGCTGAGCACTTGAAGTGTGTGTGAAAGTTAAGGTTTTTTTGTGTTGACTTGGCTGGGCCAGGATTCTCAGTGGTTTAGCAGTTAAAATGAGAGTATCACCCACATGGTAAGATCTAATATGATGCGATCTGATGTGATCAGCTTTGTCCTGATGTTATCAGCACATCTTCAGTTCTATGATGTTAATGATGTCAGATGCGCTACAGGATTAGGTCACATTTTGAGTCAATCTTTTTTATATTGAGGTGTAATCTAAACTGTTGTTGTTCAGTGCCGTTGAGTCAGTTATGACTCATAGCAACCCTGTGTAGGGTTTCCAAGGAGCACATGGTGAGTTTGAACCGCTGACCTTAAAGTTCAAGCCAATGTTGTGGTCCAGTGCATTAACCTGCAGCACCACACCAGACTTGACATGCTTTGGTCTCCACCAGTAGGTGCACTGTGAAGCTCTTAGATCCAGTGAAAGACTGATGCCAAGAAACATGGAGATCTCCCAGGAATGCTGGGTCTAACAGAGCAGGAGCTCCGAATTAAGATGTTTAGCCTCCCACACTGTGAGGGAATACATTTGTTTGTTAGAGCCACTCACTTTATAACAAAGCTATTACAGCAGCACTAGAGAACTAAGGCAGAATTCTGTACCTGGACAAGTGTGCTGCTTTAGCAGATACCTAAAATGTGGAGTTGGTTGTGGAACTGGATAATGAGCAGAGGCTGAAAGAGTCGTAAGCCTCCTAACAGTAAAAGCTTATACTGTCTTGAGGTGTCCTGGTGTGGCATCATAGGATAAGCATTCAATCTCAAGGTCAGTTTAAATTGCAAGGTCAGTGGTTGAAACTCTCCAACTGCTCCTTGGAAGTCCTATACAGGGTCGCTATGAGTTGGCACCGACTCAGTGGCACTTAACAGCATACTGCCTTGAAGAAACTGCTGGTGGAATTTGTGAATGTCAAAGGCAGTTCTGATAAGAACTCAGAAGTGGAGGAGGGCTGTATGTAACACCTGAGATGGCAGAGATGGTGAGGAGCAGTGGCAGAGAAACCATAGCAACAGAACAGGAGACGGACACAATACTACATAGGGGCCAACCCGTGGAGCAAGATAGCTGCACACCTTTGTGCAGGAGGACTCCTCGTGGGGTGGGCTGCCTCTGGTCACTTGGCAGAGTTAGGCTCTCTGACCTTTGGAGCAAGAGAACCAAGGGCTTTGTGGCTAAGCCTTACTGATGGAGTAGGGGGCCTCTTGGCATTTATCAGTAGAGCTGAGCAAAGGCCAGTCTCTCCTCTTCTGGAAACTAAGGAACCAGAAAGCAGATGCTGAGGAGACAAAGAGCATAGAAGCAGAGCTGTCTCAGTCTTAAAAGGTAGATAGGGCCATGACCTTTGGGGCTCTCAAAGGCTGGAACCATGACCTCTTGATTTCTAACGATGGGGCCACAGTTTCCTAAGTTTCAAAGAGTCAGGTCTTCACCAACTTTGCTTTGCAGTTTGGGGCTGCCATGAAAATTGGACTTCTGCCCAAAGCTAGAGGGTGGACCTACTATACCCAAGGGGGCAGAAGAATGGGACCTGCCAGAGTCAAGGGGGTGGGGTCACCCAAAGCTGAGGGAGTAAAGTTGTCTTTCCAGTGAGCCTGGAAGACAGAGCTGAAACCCAGGGTTGTGGGGCCTTTACCAGAGTGAATGGCCAACATCCAGAATCTAAGGTCAGGGCCACTGCCTACGTGGTCTCAGAGAACAGAGATGACTTCCGAGCGTTGAGAGTTACTGTGCTTGGTGTCTGTTATCCCTTCTTCCCCTTGAGTTGCTTCCACTTGTAATGGAAATGTCTACTTTGTGCCTGTTCCACCATTGTATTTGGATGCAGATAACCTGTATTCTAGACTCACAGGGGCATTTTTGTCCCAGGTTGGAATTTGCTCTTGAAAGAATTTGGGACTAATATAATGGAGTCAGTCAGTGTATCTTCAGTTTTGTGCATGTTAGTTGCATTATGTTAGGTACAAATACAACTTTATAAGTGTCTTTAATTAGCAACTGTGTATGGGTACCAAGTTGACAGGAGGTGGAAAATTCTGTCTTAAGTTATCTTGTGCTGCTGTAACAGAAATACAAGTGGAGGGCTTTAGCAAACAAAACTGTGTCCCTCACAGTTTGGGACGCTAGAAGTCTGAATCAAGAGCACTGGTTCTGGAGAAAGAGCCTTGCCTCCTCCTTTCAGCATCTGTGGACCCAGCATTCCTGGGAGAGCTCCATGTGTCTTGGCACCAGTCTCTTCCTGGGTCTGGGAGCTTCCCAATGCAGGACCCCAGGTCCAAAGGACGCCCTCCACACCTGGCTCTTATTTCTTGGTGGTAGTGGGTCCCTCTCTCTCTCTCTGCTCACTTCATTCCTTTTATGTCTCAAAATACAGCCTAGTCTTGTAGATTGCATCTGGCCTCATCAACATCACAGAAGTGAGGGTTTACAGCACATAGGGTAGTAACATCAGATCAAAACTGACTGCATCAGATCACTGTATCATATTAGATCTCATCATGGAGATTAGTAACTATATCTTAACTGAGAGTGACTGTATCATATTAGATCTCATCATGGAGATTAGTAACTATATCTTAACTGAGACACTACTAAGAATCCTGGCTCAGCCAAGTGGACACAAAGTCTTCTTGTTGTTGTTAAGTGCATTCAAGTCAGTTATGATTCATAGCAACCGTGTATAGGGTTTCCAAGGAGCAGCTGGTAGGTATGAACCACCAACCTTGCAGTTAGCCGTCCAGTAATACTTATAGTGCCACACCTTTTAATTCATTTAAATCTGAATAGCCACATATGGTTAGCAGTTACTGCATAGACAACGTGGTCCTAGTTGTTTGCCCCCAAAAAGAAAGCTTTGCTGAGCCAGACTAGCTCCCATTATTTGAGTAAGTTCAGCATTGCTGCCAGAAAACTCACTGTGAGCCTAAAGATTCATTTACTGGAGCTTGCGTTTAGACCAGATGGAGCAGATGACAACTAGTGTTGATTTTTCAGTCTAAAACTTGGACTACAGATTCTACTGAGATGTTATTAGAACTGGTCTGTTAGGGTAATTCAAAGAGCTGTCCCCACACTTCCCAGCAGTACTAGACTAAGACTGAGAAGAGCAGTGGCAGAGATGCTGGCCCACCATACTATGTTCTGTTTTCAATGCTGGAATCGACAAAATCCCCACCTCCAAGGAGCAGAAGGGGATCAACATACGTAAGCATCGTCGCTGTTCTGGATCGTGTGGTGTCTCTGAAGGGTCCGGGACCTGTGGTGCTCGCTGACTGAGGAACGTGCTGGATACCCAAGCCCATTATGGTCTGGCACCTCCATTGCTTGTCCTGGAGAACTTCTATCCATACAGTTCCCTATGACAGACTCTGAGGAGACAGAGCAAAATAGGCTCAGTAGACCTACTGTCTTCCGACAGTGTAAGATCTCATCAAAGAAATGTCTTGCAAGGGGGACAATGAGCTAGTGATGGTGCTTACAGAACCAACTTGACAACCCCTAAGTCATACAGCAAATATGAGTTCCTTTAAGAGGGGACCAGACCCTAAAGAGAAAAAGTCCACATGCCAACAGGTTGGCCAAATCACACTGAACACTTTGATTTTTTTCATTTCTTTGTTGACTTGAGTGTGCTGTTTTCCTAAACGTTGATGGACATAGGAATCTAGGAATCCCTCTGGGAGTTTCAGGCACCTCCATTCTGTGGACTCCTCTGTCTTTCCTTGGCTTTCTTCCACCTCAGGTACCACCTGGTCCTTTCCTCTTTTTGTTCTCTACCTGCTGCATCCAACACTTCTTAGGGCTCCTCTGCTATTTATACGCAAAGCAACCTTTTCTCTCTCCACACTTACTTTGGCAATATCACACCTATTTTCGTGGTTTCAACTATTGCTGCTAGGTAAAGAATTACTAAAATACTGTTTTTTAAAAGTTCCAGATCCTTAATTCCAGCTACTTACAAGATACTAAGGAGCTCTGGTAGCATAGTGGTTACGAATCGGGCTGCTAACGTCAGGGTCAGCAGTTCGAAACTACCAGCTGTTCCGCGGGAGAAAGATGAGGCTTTCTGCTCCCATAAAGATTTACAGCCTCGGAAACCCTGTACAACGTGGCTACGGGTCAGAACCAACTCCACAGCACATAACAACAAGAACAAACAAGATATCTAACCAGCATCTAATAGTTTAACATGTTCTATTCCAAGATCATCAAATTTCCCCATAACCAACTCCTCCTGTAAACATCCTTGTTGTGTGACCGACCCATTTTCTTAATCTTACAAGTGTGACCTCTTGGGGTCACTGCTGATTCCTTAGTCCTGATCCCACATCAGCTTGGAATCTAAAGAACTCACCTTTGCCATGTTGGTCACTTTTTAGTTCCTTCTTTCCAATCTCACTGCTTTAGCTGAGGTCCTATTACTCCTGTCTGGAATACTACTGTAGCTTCCTAACCATCCCCCTTCCTGCTGCCCTACAAAGATCAATTTTTCTACAGGTAACCCAAACTTCCCCAGACTATCTCATACTCTTCTCCTCTGCATATTCTAAGATAAAATCATCTAACTTTTCTTCACCTATTCACAATTCTATGCATTTGCTTCTATCTTTATTTCTGCCAACCAAAATCAACTCTTCCTTCTAGTTCTATCTCAAATGTTTCCTTCCTTCATGAAATTTTACCCTTCTCTTCAACAGACTTTTTCCTCCTTTAAATTTCAGAAGACTTTCTTAGTTTCTTTTAGCTCTAACATCATCATTGGTGCCAAGTTCAACTGTGTAAATTGGTCTGAATCATTGCTATTAGACTCTAAGTTCCTTGAGGACAAAGACTATATCTTCATACAATCTGTACACTATCAAGTATTCGAGAACACTGTCCTATACCCAGTAGACATTTAATGAGGACCTCTTTAACTGAGTTTAATACACCCTATGGACTGGCGTAGTGGTTATGGATTGGGCTGCTAACCTCAAGGTCGGCAGGTCGATACTACCAGTTGTTCTGTGGGAGAAAGATGAGGCATTCTGCTCCTGTAAAGATTTACAGCCTCAGAAACCCTATGCAGGGTCGCTATGAGTGGAAACCGACTCCATGGTACTTAACAACAACATGGACTGGATTTGGCAAGAAAGAGGAACTCAAAAGGAAAAAGTCTTTCTTCTTGACTAAGGATGGTTCTCCTGGGAGCATGCCTCACTACCATCTTTAAAGCCTAGGACTTGAACATATGTTCGGCTTGCCGAGTTGGTTTTGAAGTTATAGCTCCTTGAGTATATTTCTTGATAAACTGACTCATGGTAAAACTAAGTGTTAAAAAATCTTAATAGGAAATTGTCCTTCCTAATGGTAACTGTGCCATTCAAATAGCTATCTGAACAATGAAAATAGAACATACTGCTTAATGGTTGGTTAAAAACTTTCAGGTCTGTATATATTCAAATGACCAAATCCCTACTCTCTCAATCAGGGTAAGTAAGGCCTGGGTTTAGGGACAAAGGTATGGTTGGAAGGGTGAACTATCTGACATGCATACTGCTTTAGTAATACAGGGTATTCTGAAGAAAACTTAGGAGGGGAAAGCTTCCCAACTACTAAAAGGGGAAGGCAAGTGATAAATTGTTTGAAAATTCTCTTAAGTAAAGAGGTCAAAGGAACAGCCTGAATTGATTTTGCTACAGAAAGCTAAAAGCCAGCAGAGAGAGGAGATAAAAGTAAGCCTACACCAGGACTTGCTCTGTGGGATGAGCTCACCCATCTTACCACACAGTCCAATTTTCCTCAGTGGGTACAGCTCACATGCTGGCCCCAGGGCCAGATGGGAACCACCGACAGGAAGTGGTGTTAATGCTGGCTCTGTGGAGTGAGGCACTGACTCCCTGGTCGGCTTGCCCAGGAAGAAACAAGATTACAGCTTTTGATTTTTTCCAAATGCTTCCTACTGTGTACTTTCTCTTCTTTGGTACCTACCACCAACCACTTTATACCTTGGGGTTTTGGAGCTGGATACAGATCTCATCAGTCCCACCTCCTTGCTCCCCCTAAAGCTCCCCAGGCTGAAGATTTGTACAGAATCATCATCAAACACAAGCAAAGAGCAAAGATAACATTTAAATAGGCCTGGCTTTTGGTATTTAGCTCCCGGCCATTCTTCTGGAGTCCTCATTGTTTCTGTCTGAGATATCTGGTAAATCTCCTTAATCTCTTTCCATTTATTTTTGTTCCTGAGAATGGGGTTCTCCAAACTCAAACACCAACTCTTCTTTTGGCTCTGCCATGGATCCTTCATCAGCTCCCTTTCTATCCTTCAGGTCTGACACCTACAGACCTGAAAATGATACCAAGCAATCACCTGGCAAATCCTATGATGAGCCTTCCTGGCTCCTCAGAATACAGCTCATCCCTCAGCCAGGCAGAGGTTGAGCAAAGTGGTTGTGAACCATAAGCTCTGGGGTCAGAAAGATGTAGGTTTGACTCTGACCATATTACTTCCTGAGGTGTGGGACCCTGGACAAGTCATCCAACTTCTCTCTGGGTCTCGGTTTCTTTGGCTGCAAAACAACTGACTCTACATGGATGTCAAGTACCTTTAGTGCTTAGTACACTACAAAGGCACAAAAAAGACTCCTCACTTACGCTCATTTCAGACATGTTGTTTCTAAGTGGTTCACACATGGAATCACCATGAGTTGGAATCAACTCAGTGGCAATTAAAAACAACAAGAGCATACTTAGCCATGAACAAAAATAAGAAATGAATTTTATCCCAGGACCCTCTTTTCAGAATGATGAGGTCAATTGATCTATAATTAAATGAACAAATAAGTTATTGAAACTTCTGATTTTCAGAGACGAAGCCTCTAATAGAAGAAACAAATGTGAGTTAAAAACCAGAGGGAAATGTGTATTAATAGAAGGGTAACAAACCTGAACTCTAGCTGCTCAAGTCTCAATTGACTCAATAGGTCAAAGAAGTAAAGGACAAGATATGTGCTGGGCAGATGTGCACTTGTTGGGCAGAGAATGAGAGTCAATGGGACATAAAGGAAAGAATGTAAAACTAATGAAAAACCAGCAACCCACTGCTGTCAAGTCAATTCTGACTTATAGCAACCTTACCGGACAGAGGGTTCCAGAGGCTGTGAATCTTTATGGGAGCAGCCAGACTCATCTTTCTCTCGCAGACTGACTACTGGGTTCAAACAGCCGACCTTGCAGTTAGCAGCAAAACATTTAACCCATGGTGCTAATAGGGCTCCTGATCATGAGACCAGGGAATAAAAACTTGGCACCAGAATCCAGTTCCATTACAACAGTTATGACCTTGGTTAAGTCTTTTAACCTCTCTAGCCTCAGTGTCTTATCCAAAAGTGGTTTGAGTCTCAAAAACCAGAATGCATATGAAAAGGTCTTTATAAAGGACTATATTGTTGTTGTTAAGTGCTGTGTAGGGTTTCCAAGGAGTAGCTGGTGGGTCTGAACCACCAACCTTGTGGTTAGTAGTCCAGTGCTGATCCTATAGCACCACACCAGGACTCAGCATGGATTACTTTTAGTGAAATCACTGACTCTTAAGTGTAGAAGTCATTTGTAACAATTACTAGATGAGACTTACTGACTGGTTGGGGTTGCAAGTGACAAAGGGACAGGAGAATCAGGCATCCTTCATGTCAGTTCAACAGCTGGAGGAATTGTCCAGCTCACCAAACGATACTTAATAGGGAAACGGTGACTTCTGAGAGCAGCATGCTTGGGTACTTACCAAAGTAAAGCTGAAAGAGTACATACAGAGGGTGGGATGGTATCTGATCACACAGGGAGAGAAAATGCACAAATGGGCTCCAGGTACACCACCCACCTGCCGGGGAATTCTGGGGGCGGCTTGCACAACTTTATTGAATCTGTCAATGTTGACTCGTCCTTATTTACTAGGTTTTAAGAGAAAATAAGAGAAATGGCATGTGTGTTCTCATAAGGGCTCTGAGAGCTAAGCAGCCCCCCAGACTGTCTTTGTTGGATGTCTCTAAAAGACCTGACGTCCATTTATAATGCAAAGATGACACCTCAGTGAAGACAGGATATGGTTTTGAGAGTTCAAGTTGCTAATCTTAACTGTGTAAGCGGGCTGTGCTGTTGTACCTTCTTGTTTTCAAAGTAAACTAACTATTAACTGTACTATGGAAAGAAAGAAATCTTCTTCTAGGGTAGTGGACAAGGAGATTACAGGCACCATGGGATGTGTACTGCCATAAAACTTCAACACAATGAAACCAATTTTGGCACGCTGCCTGCTCAGTGGGCTGGCAGCACCTGGCCCCATACAGCAGACAGCTGTAAAGAAAACAGGTAGCCGTGGACATATGATGGCATGTGATTTTCCTTGAATAACACTAGTGATCACTGAACATCTACCCTTAAGCGCTGTAGGATAAGCACTGGACTGTGAACCATAAGGTTGGTGGTTCAAACCACCAACTGTTCCTATGGGTTGGAATAGACTCAGTGGCACTTAACAACCTAACAACGTGCTTTTAAAAAACTGAACCTCTTAACAACCCTCATCACATAGCATAGCATTTCCTGCTAACGCTGCTCATGCTTGCCTTACCACCCCCCACCCGGCAGAATATAATCTCCCTGGAGGTGAGTTCTTTGTCTTTCCAGCCATGCCATCTCTTCAGCACCTACAATATAGTCTTATACAGCATAGCCATTCCAAAAATAGTGCTCAATTTGGTCCTTCATAAACATAATCAGAGTGTTCTGGGACTGGTGTATAACTACACAGACACGGAGCTGCCTTTAAAGAAAGAGAGATCAAGATCAGCAAGAGTGTGCTCCCCCTTGCCTGCAGGGGGTGGTAAAGGTAGAGTATTGTAACTTTTTTTTTGGCAAAAATGACAGCAAATTACCTGATGATTTTCTGGTCAAGTACAAATGTGAGCTCACATTTTTACAATGATAGAATCATGTCAAGTTAAAGCAGGAAGAGATTGTGGAGTCTGTTTCTACTGTGGATCACAGCACCCTCTCCCCAGGGTGGTGTGAAAGACAAATGAGAAACAGACTTAAAAGTACTCAGCGCAACGTTCTGTTGACACAGAGCTGTTGTTAAGTGTCTTTGAGTTGGCACCAGCTCATAGCAATCCTGTATAGGGCTTCTGAGGGTTTTAAATCTTTGCGGGTGCAGAGAGCTTCATCTTTCTTCCGTGTAGCAGCTGGTGGGCTTGAACTGTGAACCTTATGGTTCACTGTCTAATGCTTAGCATACACACATGAATATCAACTCTGCCTTCCTTCTCCTAGTGGCATTTAGTTTAGCCCCTATCATCACACAGATGAAGAAATGGAAGGGAGGTTACATTGACAGATCCCTGGCCACAGAGTAAGAGTTGTTTAAAGTAAGGACAATGGGGACGCCTCAGAATAAATATTTTTAAACACACAGATGTATACCCCTGAGGCGTACAGAAAACTAATCACAGATTTTCACTCTCATCATACGGTTTTCTTAAGCACATTTTTCCTTCTATTGTATTATTTCACTGCACTGGATCCTAAATTCACATAACAATAAATATATGTCTTTAGTCATTAAAGATTCAAGTACGAGAGTAAGTCAACAGAATTGCTACTAGGGTTTCAGTTCATACAAGCATAGATTTGTTCCAAACATGTTCAAACACATCTCTGTCTTCAATGGATGGCTGTAGACAAGTTGTGTCAATACACTTGTTTTAGTCCTGTCAGGGTGCCTTCAAAAATAAGGTCCAATCCTAACAGTGGTTCTGAGGGGATCTGCTGGGCCAGTGATATTCAAGTAGAGGTCAGCAGCTCAGATGGTTACGTTGACTGAGCTAAGATGCCAAAGGATTATCTTGACAGACTTTCTAAGTACACAAAATACTCATTATAATATGGGAGCTTATTATGAAGCAGTTTTTTGGTTAGAGGAAGGCCACATGCACTGAGGAAATTTTTTTCTTCACAACACATCTGCTCATTCTTTAATAATTCTATGAGAATCCGGTTAGGAAACCTGACCCGGTCATCCTCCATCCCTGATCTTGCCCCTTCAGACTTCTTTTTAATTCCCCAAAGTCAAAGAACATTAAAAAGTAATACAGTTAAGTCCCTTAAGAATGCCCAAACTGACATTCTGATGTGGTTTAAACTGAAGAGCGCAGAATTCTTCAGTGAAGAGTTAAAGAGAGTTGGCAATAATGCCTTCAGAAATGTCCACCTAGATGAAGCAGCTTCACATTTTGATATTTTTAACAAAGGTTGCTAAGATTTTGTAGCAATACTTGTTGACTTACCCTTGTATGCTGTTGTTGTTGTTAAGTGCTGTCAAGTCAAGTTGTGACTCATAGCGACCATATATAGGGTTTCTGAGGAGCGGCTGGTGAGCTTGAACCGTTGGCCTTGCGGTTCAAACCAACCTTGCAGTCCAGCGAATTAACCCACAGTGCCACACCAGAACTCCTTACCCTTGTATATGTGACTCCAAAAGTCACAAAACAGAAGTAGCTGCTAGTATGGGATAAGGTACTCACGTGACAAAAGTATCAATAGACACCATCATGATAAATAGAGAAAAAAGATTGAAGTTGTCAAGGATTTCATTTTATTTGGATCCATTGTTAATATTCATGGAAGTAGCAGTCAAAAAAAAAATTAAACAATGTTATTGTATTGGGCAAATCTGCACAGATTAAAGTGTGAAAGAGCAAAGATATCTCTTTGAGGACTAAGGTGAACCTAACCCAACCTTTCAGGTACAAGTAAAGTAGGCTAACATGCCTGCCAAAGAAGGGCTCCCATAATGGTTATGGGATACATATGGGACAAAGGCAAATTACACCCTCCGACTTTTCTGTTCTGGTGTGGTGCTGTAGGATAAGCACTGGACCACAGGTCAGTTTGAACCACAAGGCTGACGGTTCAAACTCACCAGCAGCTCCTTGGGAACACTATACAGGCTCAACTCGATGGCACTTAACAACAACAGCTTTTCTGCACGTAGATATAACCCAGGAGAGAAAAAGTGAAGAGAAATTAGAGAAGATAATTTTTGAAGAAAAACATTACAAAAGGCAGTTGGGGTGGGGGCATACTGTTTGCTTCATCTTGGCTCTTTCCTCAGTGCCTGACACAATGCCTGCACCTGTAGGTCTCTCTTGGAGTAACTCAGATTCAGCTGCCAGTCACTAGTTAATGAGCTGTTGACCTTGGGAATGTTACTTAATTTATCTTTACTTTAGTTGCCTCACTGGTAAAATGAGGGTAATAAGTTACTACCTCATAGAAGGGGGATAGCTGACATTTCTATAGCACTTGCCTAATACCAGACACCAAATGCCTTCCTTCACATGTGGAAATTTATTTCATTCGTAAATTCATTTCACAACAATTCTATGAGGTAGTAACTTATTACCAATGAGGCAACTAAGTATGAGAGACGAAGTTTGGCCATCCTGTCTTCAAAAGCATCAATTCTTCTATGGTCTTCCTTATTCACTGTCCAGCTTTAAAATTAAGAAAGGTGTGTGACAGGGTTGTATTCTTTCACCGTACTTATTCAACCTGTATGCTAAGCAAATAATCTGAGAAGCTGGGTTATATGAAGAAAAAACATGGCATCAGGATTGGAGGAAGGCTTATTTACAATCTGCAATATGCATATGATACAACCTTGCTTGCTGAAAGTGAAGAAGACTTAAAAATCATCACCACTGGACCAATAAACAACATTCTTATCAATGGAGAAAAAATTGAAGCTGTCAAGGACTTCATTCTTCTTGGATCAACTATCAACACTCATGGAAGCAGCAGTCAAGAAATCAAATGACGTATTGCATTAGGCAAGTCTGCTGCACAAGACCTTTTTAAAGTGTTGAAGAGCAAAGATGTCAGCTTGAGGACTAAAGTGCGCCTGACCCAAGCCATGGTATTTTCAATAACCTCATATGCATGCGAAAGCTGGACAGTGAATAAGGAAGACAGTAGAAGAATAGATGCTTTTGAGTTATGGTGTTGGAGAAGAATACTGAAAGTGCCATGGGCTGCCAAAAGAACCAATAGATCTGTTTGGGAAGAAGTACAGCCAGAGTGCTCCTTGGAGGCCAGGATGGCCAAACTTCGTCTCTCACACTTTGGACGTATTGTCAGGAGGGACCAGTCGCTGGACAAGGATATCATGTTTGGTAAGGTGGAGGGTCAGAGAAAAAGAGAAGACCCCCAGCGAGATGGATTAGCAAAGTATCAGCATCAATGGGCTCAAGCCTGGCAATGATAGTGAGGTTGGCCCAGGATCATGCAGTGTTTTATTCTGCTGTGCATAAGGTCACTATGAGCCGGCACCGACTCGATGGCACCTAACAAGAACAACAACATTTTAATGAAAGTCAAGAAAGTCTAGACTCTAGGAAACCACGATATGAACATGCGAATAAATAACATACGTTACTGGCTATACTATTACAGCATTGATTTTGTATCCTTATCTTTTAATTAAAAAAATTCTGTACCCACCAATCCCTACTTCCTACATACTTCTCTCCCAAAGGATCCTGAAAGTCTTCTCAGGAATTTTTTCCCCTTGGAACACAGGGTACTAGCTGTAAAGAGATGGCATTGCTGAATCAATGAACAGGAGAAGGGTGGCCCAGGACTTTCACCACAAAGGACTCTTACCTCGGCTGGGAACCTTATTTCTGCTGAATGCAGTAGTTGGTTGATGTCGGTAAGAATGTAGCCCCATTTCCTGTGCATGGTTCACAGTTCCTAGTAAAGATTCAGGGTCCCCAGGTCCACTGGTACTCAAGAGCAGGGGGCTGTCATGGCAACCTTTGGTCAATGCATTTGGACTCTTACTGTCTAAAAAGCCATCCTTGGCCCCCTCGCATGCGCAGTCCTCTTCCATGCTCTCTGAGTGTATTAGTGCTGGCTGGCGAGCATACCCATGGGGCGGGGGCGGTGAGGGAACCTGTGAGACACATTCTTGCGCCCTGACTTGCAGAAGGTGCTGAGGGCTGGTGTGGTGGTGGTGATATGAGTCAGCATTTTGGTAAGGTAGAGCCTGGTGTTCTGTCATACTCTGTCCCCCAAGATTTGAAGCTATACTCCCAGCATCCCCTTGGTTCATATGCCTGAACAATTCTTGATACTCTTGTTGCTGCTGCTGCTGCTGTTGCTGCTGCCGCTGCCTTTTAATGAGCTGTGCAAACTCGGTGGGGGGCAGCCGAATGTCCGAGTGGCCGGTGAGCGAATGCCGGGGAGAGAGCAGTCCTTGGAGGATGTGGGGTACCTGCTGGTGTCTTGTATAGTCTGGTGGGGTGGGGGACAGAAGGGCCTGCTGTAGTGCCGATGTGGTATAGTGCGGTTGCTGCTGATGTGCACTGGGAGGGAAGGTGGGGAACTGGTCCAGCCGAGGGACTTTCAGAGCTTGAGTTGGAGGGAACCCCACTCCAGCTGAAGGGCTGTAGCTGCTGGGGGAAGCCCGAGACTGGTCCGAAAACAGATGAGGGTGTAAATGCGCCTGGTCGTAGTTAGCAGGGGAGAACCGATTCACGTTCAAGCTGCAGACACAAGAGGGAGTGAGTACTAGTAGCACGTGTTCAGAATTCCCCTGGGGGATAGCTACCCCTTGTCTTCTTTAGTGGGGAGTACCCCCGGCACAGAGAACTGGGGTGCAAGACAGAAGATGGGGATGTATGCACCATCCTGAAACATCCCCTGATTCACCTATCCTGACAATAACTTGGCCACTATATGCACTGCAGACTCAGGCTCTAGCTTGGAGGCAGCAACTTGGCCTGTTTAAAGACGTCATTTGTACTATGATGTAGCATCAACCTCTAGGAGGAGTGACACAGAAGAAACGAAAAGAATAGACCAGGGGAAACTGGCATTTTTTTTTACAAACTCCTCTAACAGGTCGTTTTACTCTTTGCTTTTCCTCCTCTGTTTCAACAGCATCTTAATCCTGGGTCAATAAATATGCTACAAGAACATCCTGAACCCACTTCCCTGATTTTAGAAATGATAAAACAAGAAGTATTGGCTTAACAGTACAGCACAACCAGTCTCAGACTCCCTCTCCCTGCTAAGGGTGTGTCCTCCCTGGATCACCTAGATAGACAGCCAGGGGAACTGAGGCAGCCTTACCTGTGGGCCTCTGCACTGTCAGCACTCAGCTGCTTGGACAAGGGCCGGTGCCCATAGCTGAAGGTGGCCATCAGGTTGGTACGATGCTGCATCTGGATGTGACTGGCACTGGGGCTAATGGAGATGCCCCGTCCGGCTGGGCCTGCAGCTGTCCCTGGCAGGTTGCTGAGCATGTCCACAGGCTCCTGGACTTGGATGGTTACCTGCTGTGATTGGGTGGGCTGCTGCATACCCAAGCAGGTTAGTGCCACGTTGGGAGGAGGAGAGCGGCTCTCGGACTGCTGCTGGAAGATCGCACTGCGGGAGGGTAAGCCTTGATATTGAGAGGGCGATGCAGCACCTGGAAAGAAAGAATCTTAGAGTGACCAAATGCCCAGGGTATCTGGAAACAATGGCAGCCTTGCTAATGCCGCTAGAGCAGTACTTCTGTTAGTGTGCATAAGACTCGTCTGGAGAACTGAATAAAACACACGCTAGCCCAGTAGGTACATGAATTTGTACTTTGAGTACACTTCTTTAAAAGCTGTTCCATGGAATACACTCTGAACAGCTCTGATCTAGGGCAATGCACCTTAAGCTTTAATGTGTATGTAAATAGCCTGGGATTTGTATGCTAACATTAGGTTCAGATTCAGTCAATCTGAGATGGGACCCGAGATTCTACTTTTCCTGCAGGTGTTGTTGGTCAGGGAACCTACCTAACTTTTGAGTGGGAAGGGCCTAGCGGCCAATTTTGACTTTTTTCATGATGCCTAAGGAGATTACTGGAGGGTCAGCAAAAAAGAGGGAAATCCCAAGCAAAATGGATTGGCATAGTGGCAGAAGCAATGGGCTCAAGCGTAGCAACAATTGTGAGGATGGCATAGGACCAGGCGGTGTTTTGTTTTGTTGTATGTAGGGTCGCTGTGGGTCAGAACATACCATAACATAAACAGCATGGAACAACAACAGAGAGACTAGCAAGGAATCTCTGTTTTGTGGTGTGTTGCTTCGAGATTACCCATTTTGGGGATAGGTAAGCACTATTCTCTGGAGACTCAAACCAATCCAGAGTATGCTAATCTTCCCCTCCACATCCACACCCATCAGAGAGGGCCCCACAGGCACTAAGGATAACCACCTTTGAGGCCTAACAATAAGTTATCATAGAGAGTTTTATTTAGTGAGGTTGTAGGCGGTTTATTTAAAATATTAAGAATAGCTACAGTTAGCTTTCTTGTGCCAAGGACTGTTCCAAGTGCTTTAAATATATATTTACTCATGCGATAACTATTATTATCCCTAGTTCACATTTTAAGAAGCTCTGGTAGCGTAGTGGTTACAAGTTGGGCTGCTAATCTCAAGGTCAGTAGTTCAAAACTACCAGTGGTTTCCACAGGAGAAAGATGAGGCTTTCTGCTCCCGTAAAGATTTACAGCCTTAGAAACACAATACAGGGTCACTATGAGTCGGAACTGAGTCCACGACATACCACCACCACCAGTTCACATATAAGAAAACTGAGGTACACTAAAGTTTAAGTAAACTACTTTTAAGTTTTTACAGCGAAGAAGTTGGTGGAACCAGAATTCAAACCAAACAGTCTTGCTCTAATGTCCCCAACTATTAAATATTAAATACTATGCTAGTCTATAAGGAGCTCTGGTAGCGTAGTGGTTACAAATCGGGCTGCGAACCGTAAGGTTAGCAGTTCAAAACTACCAGCAGCTCCGTGGGAGAAAGATGAGGCGTTCTGCTCCCGTAAAGATTAACAGCCTCAGAAACCCTGTGCAGGGTCGCTATGAGTCGGAACCGACTCCACGGCACATAACAACAACAACATGCTAGTCTATAAGGTCAGCAGTTCCAGCTCACCAGCCACTCCTTGGAAACCCTATACAGAGTTGCTACGGGTTGAAACTGACTCGATGGCATTTAACACCAACACCAACAACAGGTCTGCCTTTATGATCAATGGTTGGTGAAGCTCAAGACTAAGACTTATTTTGTGTGGTAAATAATGGTTCCAGGTAAACCTCTCCACTCACCATGAGACTGGACCATAGCACTGCTCATTGGGGGAGGACTATTACTGGGTTGCTTGAAGAGATGGTTGTTGGAGTGGTTGGGAGGTGGGCTTGAAGGCTGAATCCTTAACCTGAAAAACAAAACTAGATAAACAAACCTCTGAAGATCAAAAGTACAATCTTGAAGTCAGTCACATGCTCCATATAAGTGGGAACTAAGAGAGGGCGTCATCAACTGCATGGAAATATCCATTTCCCCACAAAATTCTTGAAGCCCCTTTGTATTTTTAATTTTTGATTGCCTCTAGGTTAGAAATACGTCTATAAACCATCCACCACAGTAACTGAAAGCCTATCTGCATCTTGCTTACCATACTTCTTTTTGTTGTTAGATGCCATCGAGTTGGTACCAACCCACAGCGACCCTATGTACAGCAGAATGAAACACTGCCCGATCCTGGGCCAACCTCACTACTGTTGCCACGCTTGAGCCCATTGATACTGACACTTTGCCAATCCATCTCACTGGGGGTCTTCCTCTTTTTCTCTGACCCTCCACCTTAACAAACATCATATCCTTCTCCAGTGACTAGTCCCTCCTGACAATATGTCTGAATTATGAGAGACGAAGTTTGGCCATCTTGGCCTCCAAGGAGCACTATTGGATCTATTGGTTCTTTTGGCAGCCCATGGCACTTTCAATATTCTCCTCCAACCCCATAACTCAAAGACATCAATTCTTCTACGGTCTTCCTTATTCACTGTCCAGCTTTCGCATGCATATGAGGTTACTGAAAGTACCATGGCTTGGGTCAGGCACACCTTCGTCATCAAGCTGACATCTTTGCTCTTCAACACTTTGAAAGGATCTTGTGCAGCTTATTTGCCTAATGCAATATGTTGTCTGATTTCATAACTGCTGCTTCCATGAGTGTTGATAGTTGATCCAAGAAGAATGAAGTCCTTGACAACTTCAATCTTTTCTCCATTGATAAAAATGTTTATTGGTCCAGTGTTGAGGATTTTTGTTTCCTTTACATTGAGATGTAATCCATACCGAAGGCTGTGCTCTTTGATCTT